CGGCGCCAACCACTATCCCTCGTCCTCTGGTGTCCCGCGTCTGCCCCCCATCCTCCAGGTCGAGAAGCAGCAGGTGACCACGTCCGCCACACAGCTCGCCAGTGCCATCCGCCGTCGCAACGAGGCCCACTTCGTCTGCCCCGTCCCCGGTTGTGGAAGCACCTTTACTCGTCGTTTCAACCTCCGAGGTCCGTCTCGCTCGCTGTGCACTACACAACGTCCTCATACCTTTTAACAGGGCATTTACGATCGCATACCGAGGAGCGGCCGTACGTCTGCGACTGGCCCGGCTGCAAGAAGGGCTTTGCACGGCAGCACGACTGCAAGTACGTACCTGCTGCTGTGCATCCCGTCCCGCCCGGTATGACTGACTCATTTCTCCTTCCCTAGGCGTCACCAGGCGCTCCATGCCGCCAAATCCCAGTCCAACGTCTGCCAGGGCTGCAAGAAGACCTTCAGCCGCCTCGATGCCTTGAACGTGAGTAACCCCCCGCCCTTTATCGCTCTTCCTTCGACAGCCACTCACACAGCCCCCTAGCGTCATCGTAAGCGCCGTACCTCGCTCCACCGACCGATTCGGTATATTAACCCCCTTTGCAGTGCGTTCCGATGGCGGTGCAGAGTGTAGGGCTTCCAATCCCAAATTTGCCGCTGGTATGTCGGACGACCCCGCCCCGGCGCTCTCCAGCTCGGGCGGCGGTGGCCAAGGTCCCAGTCGCGAGCACGCCCTCCAATGATAGAAGATCCCTGCTAACTCTGTATCATATCCTATTTCTTCGGTTTGCGATTATGGATGTATCTTCCTTGCAGCTGTAATTATTTTATTGCTTATACTACGAATTTTCATTTCTTGATCACTTTTTATCTACGATGCGCTCATGCTGTGCAAGCGGCACTTGTGCTGCTATGAACGCGGAACCAAGATAGGTTCGAGGTGCTATTGCTTCACCGCCACCAGGTGGAAGCATTCAGGGATAAACACGTGAGAATCCGGGAGACCGGCAAACGCTCCGGGGTACACTTTCGGATTTTCGCCACTCTTCCAGCGTCACAAACAACTCTCTGACTTTTGTCCTTCACTCTCATCATGGCTCTCCCTATGCTCGTCGGTGGCAGCGACTGCGGGCCCTCTAACCCGCTGCAGGGACTATCGAAGCGATTCGACCACGATAGGGGACTGCAGCAGGTGTGTAATCCGATCATCTCTGCTGTAACTTGTACCTCATCATCCTCGGAATAGGACCACTTTGGTGCTGGACGTGCCGGCCCCTCTCGCGACGTACGCTTACTTACACTCACATTCGACGTTTAGGTTAACCATTCTGTAGGCCTTCCGCACACAACAAGGAAGCAGCTCGCAAGACCAAGATGCCGCTCGGTTCTTCTCGGGAAATGCGACTCCCGCACCCCAATTTACCGCCGATCCTGCCTTCGACCTCGCTTCGATGCGTGCGGCACTACCAGTGAGCCCCGTTACGGCTCCGCTGATGCAGCAAAATCCGCTGGCTTCGTGGGCTGCAGACTTTATGGCACAAGCTGCTCCGATGGGTGCACCACAACAACTCCATGGACCGGCGAATATGGACTTGCAAATCGATGCCAAACCTACTCATGTCGCGTCTCCCGTGTCTCCGCAAGGTATGTGTTTCGTTGTGCGGTTGAGGATATGGCCTTTTGACGAGGAAAGTGGAAATAGGTGGAATGCAGTGGACAGCTGCGATGCCTAATTACCGCATGAATTCGATGCCCACATTTGCGCCACAAATGCCAATTCAGCACCAACTCCATCAGCAGTCTGCTGTGAGCAACAAGCGTGAGTCTTTCCATCGTCTTGTTATACTTTCCCTACTCACTGCACCGCTTTCAGGAATATCGTGGGACAAGGAATTCACTGCGCAGGAACTCCATCTAGCGTCGACATCGTCCACGATCATGCAAGAACCGCAGAAGTCTGACGTCGATGGTTCTCAGCAACCAGCGGCGCACGAGGGAGACGAGCTGGCTCGCACCGCCGGCATGCTTTTGGAAAACGTGAAACACGAGCAGAACCCAAAGTTCCAGAACAGCGCGTTTATGGGGCTGATGAGGCAGCTTCGGGATGGGAATGTCACGATTGAGGGGAACGAGATGGTCGAGAGCGGGGGCCGCGCGGGTGCTTCGAGCACAAGCGGGGATGTGAAGGGGAAAGGGAGGGCTCTAGACCCTACCCCACGTCCCATGACCAGCGCTTACTCCCCCGCCACGGGATCTGGGGTACTCTTGGGTCAGCACCAAGTGGCGCGCCCACAAGCCGCCCAAGGCTTGAACCAAGAGCAGGAGCAAGAGCAAGAGCAAACAGGTGTGCAAGAAGACGCGAACGACGCTTACTTCCGACAAGAGAACGCTGACTTTATCCGTTACTGGAACGACACGAAAGTGCCCAAAGAGCCATCGCAGACCGCCGAGACGATGTTTTGGGACAAGCTGCAGAGCGATTGGGACAACTTTGAGGCGACGGCGACGGGCGTCACCCCGGCGAGTCGGTATCAGTTCCAAGCAAACAACCCGTACCTCCTGGGCGACTCGTCGAGGACGACGCAACATCATCTCATGCATACCGGCGGCCAGGGACGGCAGTCAGTCATGGAGGTGAGCCATCGGGTCAACTCTCTACCCCGCATCCGTTCCGGTTACTGATCTCCTCAATCTCCACAATCTTTTAATTCAACCTTATTGTGTTCTTGGTACCCCATACCCCAGAGTGTGCTGGAACTGGAAGCGGGGGTGCAGCGGAACATGCATGACGCGGGGGCGTGGTATGAGCTCGGGGTGAAGCAGCAGGAGAACGAGCGGGAGCACAAGGCCCTGCAGGCCCTGCAGCGCGCTGTCGAGCTCGACCCGTCGCACCTTCCTGCGTGGCTCGCGCTTGCGATCTCGAACACGAACGACAACGACCGCCAGGGCACATACGACGCAATCTACGAGTGGGTCAGCCGGAACGGCGTGTATGCAGACGCGGTAACACGCTTCCGGGCCCTGAATGGCGATCGCGATTCGGAGGACGTCAGAAGCTTGTCCCTTGCGGAGCGTTACGGGCAGCTCATTCAGTGCTTGATCACGATGGCAAGGAGCGCCGAGACAGGAGATGTCGACGCTGACATTCAAATTGCCCTCGCGGTGCTGTTGAACACGAACGAGGTAACTATGAGAGTTGCCCTCTGCGTATTTTTCGGAGCGGTTCTCATTTCGCTTATAGGAGTACGAGAAAGCTCAAGATTGTTTCCGAACCGCATTGGCCGTCCGACCTGACGTATGTGGTATTTTGCAACTTGGTTACTCTACCGCCGCCTTCTGACTTCTGGGGTTCCATTTTGTCTGATTGCTAACCCCATTTCCAGGATTGGCTCCTGTACAATCGCGTTGGCGCCACTATGGCGAACAGCGGCCGAGCGGAGGAGGCTCTAGAATACTATTATCGCGCTCTAGAGCTCAACCCGGGATACATACGAGCCAGGTGGGTTTGAGTTGCGACAACTTCGACAGTTCTGATCTTTGTTATCTCTTATTCTTCTCCCGTTAGGTTTAATCTTGGAATATCGTGCATCAACCTTCGGGTACGTGTTCCCCGGAGCCTAAGCTCTTTTTGTGTATTTTGTTAACCTCCGTGCAATGTTCATCAGCGATACGAGGAGGCTGCGCAACATATCCTTGATGCACTGGTTCTGCAGGACAATGATGGCCTCGGAGATGACGTGTCATTGAACGAGAAACGCGCGGATATCTCGACGGCGCTGTGGGATACCCTGAAGACGACGTGTCTGCACATGCAGCGGGCGGATCTGGCGACATTGTGCGACCTGAAGGACTTGGAGGGTACGTCTGATACACATCTTCCAGTCGAGGCTTTTCTTCAACCCCAATCTTTTGTTGACAGGTTTTCGAAATCGCTTCCCTTGAATTCCTTGAGAGATGAAGCGGTGAACCAGTTACCCCCTCCTGTGCTCGGGCTTTGCCGCGTTCGTGCAGACGACTTCTCTTGTTCTTTACAGTGGATATAGATAGATGATACATCTATTGCGGTTTGCTATGACAATTTCGATGGACCTACAGCCCAGTTCGGATGTTAGTTATCTAGAGTGAACGAACACGGCTCGCGGGATGCTGACCTGCTTCGGGCATGAGACCCAATCGTTTTGCTTTCTCATTCCGCTCATTCCGCGCAGCTACTGCTTCTTTCAATTGCTCGTACATCTCGAGGTCTTCCTTGGTCATGTTGGGATTGTCGGTCAGGCGCTTCATCTTGGCCATGAGTTGCTGATGAGTAAGGAGCTCCTGCTTCTGCTTTGCAAACACGTCGCGCACGTCCTGGACGTCGAGATCGGTCATGGGGATGAGTGTGGGTTCTCTTCGAATCATCTCAGCCCGTGACGCGTTGGTAAGCCCGATATCGCGTTCAGTGGTGTGTAGGAGTTCACAAAGGTGGTGTGGACAAGGAGATTGACGCCGACGACAATGCATGTATGTCACCATTGTCATTGAGTAACACATGCAAGCAAGACCAAGCGCAGCAGCACAGCATTGCCGTATCACTGCGGTCTGCGCAAAAGTGCTGCGTCAACGTCAACAAACGAGTACTTCAAACCCGCCGCCCAACCTACCTCGCCCTAACCGCTCTTTCTCCCACCTCCAACCCTCACTTCACCTCTCACGAATTCACCAGCATAACACACAATGGAGGTGCTCATGAAAGTCACGGATGCCGTCAAGTCGCTGAGGGTGCGTTCATTCCGCCCGCCCCAAGCCCTCCGAGCCTCTAAAATTTCTCTATACTTGCAGGAGACACGTCTATCTGGAATCCGACCACCAAATGAGTTCTTTGACTACCAGCGAGTCTCAAGACCGGCCGACTTCAACCAGGCAACCTCGGTGGGTACTTGGTCTTGTGCATACGGTGCTGGAATACGGTGCTGACAGGGTTCGCGTTATCCAGCGGATATCCTACAATACTCGCTACTTCTCAGGTGAATAGAGCGTCATATGCATGCCCAGCATCTACTCGTCCGAACCCCGAGCTAAACCGACGCCCATCGGACAGGGAACTACCTACTCGTCATCGCCCTTCTGGCGGTTTATGCACTGTGCGTCCTGATCGGTCCGCTGAGCAGCCCGTCGCGTTAAGCTCATGGCTCCACCTCCACGCAGCATTACGAACCCTCTCCTCCTCATCTCCCTCGGCTTCCTCGTCGGCGGCTTCGCAGCTATCAACAAGTTCGGTACGTCTTGGTTTCTCCCACTGCGTTGTCCGAGCGAGACCGTGTACTTATATACACACGTACGTCACAGCACCCGAGGCGACCCAGGTTGGCGAACACACCGTCACACAGAAACATCTCTACACCGGCCTGTTCGTAATTGGCATTCCCATGTTCTGGTGGGCTGGTCCCTTCGGAACGTTCTTTTGGCTCATTGGAGCCTCGAGTGTCCTTATTCTTGGACACGCATCTTTGCTGGAGCCGGGTGTAGAGAGCGACTATGCTGCTATCGGCGAAACCGTGTAGATCAATGAAAGGGTAGCTAAGCTTGACGGACTGGTGGATTGAAACGCCTCTTAGCTTCTTTCTAATTTAGTTCAATATGCCATTTGTTCCTAGATTATGACTTCTTTTTGGTTTGTGGAATCTAGTTTGACATTCTCTACACGTATAGAGAAAGCGGACGAGGACAGGAATAGTGATGATGTATAATGAACAGTGAGAAGGAAGAAAATGCAAGCATCAGAGTATGCGTATGTGGTACATATTTGGGCACGTTTTAACCAAGCAGGAGAGCAACGAGGATTGACAGCAGAAGACGGGGGTGGGAAGGCTGACGAGAGGCAGTGGGGTGTGCGGCCGACATGAACAGAGAAGATGAAAGTCGACAACGTTTTGGGGGGCATCAGGTGAATGAAAAGCATGGGAGGCTAAACGGTAGGTCGTAAGGTGAATGCAGAGGGAGGAAATAAGAATAAGAGCTATGAATTATGACGGTGAGAAGCATAACGTATCGTCTAGCACATGCAATGCATACAGTGCTACAGAAGTGGTAGCCATTGTCCTGACACCAGGCATGTCAAGCTCTGCATGAAACTCGGAGCAACGAGACTCTGAACTCACCTATAACCATACTCGGGAGATCGAACAGATCTCTGCGTATCGAAAAGCAGAATGTCGAGGGGACGGGTGCGCCGTTCGGTTTCAAAAGCACGCAGTGAGAGTACACTGATTGGGTTGTGTTTTCAAATGCGTGCGAGGCAAAGTTCTCCCAGTACTCGACGACCGATTGGTTCTCAAATAGCTAGACAAAAAGAATAGAAGGGCGCAAAATTAGATCCCAAGATGCAAAGACTGAGCACGCGACCCAATACATACCTCATAAATATACTTTTTGTTGCCACCCACGAGGTCCTCCAGGGGCCATTCTGTCAACATGCAGAATTCGGGCGCAACCAAGCAGATTTCGCCCGTCCGGCGCCAGACCACGGTCGGAGTCCCACTGTAGGATATCAGCTTTTCGAGTTCCTGTGTACGAAATGATGCCCACGTTAGTCACACGAGCATGCAGGGGAGTCGGATTCGGCTTACCAGAAGAGTTCTCTGGAAGCACTTCTCCACGAAGATTTCGTCGTCCAGGGACAGTGGCATTTGCAGTGCGATGAGCGATGGCCGGAAGATGGCCAAGGCTCGCACAATACGGAGTATGTCATTCTTCTCAAACCTTTACCCCAGGATGACGTGAATATGAGAAGGATAGTGGGTAGTGGAGGGGTAATGGGGCGGAGAAAGAAGAGATTATGAGCTTGAGTCCCGAACGGCACCCACTTGTATACATCAGCACTCAAGAACACACGTACCGAGTGGGCAGGTGCTTCATTAAGAAGTGGTAGCCCTCCGTATAATCATACGGCGTGGTGACACGGTCGTTAATGCTCTGCAGCTTAGACCCACGCGATAATGGTCGAGCCATTTCTGTGATCCCTGGCGGGAGCGAGGTTGTAGAGCTCGGCGAATCCGTTGAAGGTGGAGGCGATTGTAGCCGGCCGGAACCCACATCTTTTGAAGACGTGTTCAAGAAGACAGTCGTCGGTGGAGATCGCGGTCGCGTATCAAGGGGATATCTTGGTTGAAGCGGATGTAGCGGCGAAGTCTGGGATGAGTAAGGAGGCGTGTACCGCAACTCCGTGAGATCCTCAGGTGGTTGTGGGTGTGGGTATGGATATGTCAAGTAATGCGCGGCATTTGCAGGAGAAGTAGATAAGGATTCTGATTGCGGGACTTGCATCTGGTTCTCGCCATATGACGGAGCAAACTCCGTAGTTGCTGTCCCTAGGCGTGGGGAAGCAGCAAAGTCGATGGGATCAGACGGCCAGGAGGAATAATGTGGCGGCGGCGGTGGAGGTGTCTCTGCTGACTCTGGTGGGCTGGGGTTGCCCAATATCGCAGAAAGGATCGAATACTCGAGATTTGCAGCCTCAGAACCAAAGGGGAAGTTGGGGTCGAAGGATGCGGAGAGGAGGGCGTCGTTTTGAGGGAAGGATTCAGCTGACATATTATCTAATGTCAGGAGTGATTGAATGTGCGAGAAGAGACTTTGTCGCACCTATTGAGATAGGCGGAGGTTCTGTGGGGGTATCTATATTCTGTTTCTCAGGCGCGGATTTGCCACCTCGCTTCAGTTGCTCTGCGAAGGACACGTGACCAAATTAATCTTTGTGGACAGTAGTGATCTATGACGGCGGAGGTACCTAGCTCGTCATCGTCCAGCAGATACTTGGCCTTTTTGCGGTGACCTTCAGTGCAATTGTTGGCGATCCCGCGCTTGATGCAGCGTTGACAGGGCCGTGCTGGGTGCAGGCAGAATGAGTAAGAGAGCATACTCGTGAAATAGAGTGCGTGAGTGGTGACACGGGAATGAACTCACAATCGTCGCATGTAAGGTGTGCCTTCTGGCAATGATAGCACGCTCGATTAGCTTTCTTTTTCTTTGGTCCATCCCTGCCTTTGCGCGACGGTTGCGACGAAGCCGAGTCTGCAGACTCGTCTGGGGTGTCGTTTCGCTTTCGCTTGGCTGCAGCAGCTATGGTGGCAGCGTTCGTTGCAGACACGGAGACGGCGGTGGAGAGGGAAGTTTTCTTCTTGAGAGCGGCCTGGGGTGAGGACGAGGGGCCAGCCTAGACACTGGTGGTGAGAAGAAAGAAGTGCGGGGAAGTGTGGGGAACATACTGCGAGGGGGGCGGGCCTTGGGGCAACAGCGTAGACGGTGGCCATGGCGCGCCAGAAGGAGTGAGGAGGATGGGGTGGAGGCAGAAAGCAGCGGACCGGGAATATAGCAGAGTGTTAGAACAGGTACGGGCTAATAGGTGTGCCAGTCCACGGGCAGGTGACCCATCTGATTTTATTCACGGCCGAGTCCCAGCTCGCGCCGAACCACATCAAACCACTCCGACCCGCCGCGAACTGCTCCCTTCCCGCCTCCATGGCCGCTCGTCTTCTTCCTGTCCTCGCCTCCGCCATTGGCCGTGAGCAAGCCTCCCGCGAGCTCATATGGATACAACGCGCCGTCGACTCCCGCGAGACCTCCCTCACCCTCGACGAGATCGTCCGCCGCCGGGCAGGCGGAGAACCTCTCCAGTATATCCTCGGCAAGCACGCGTCTCTCGCCATTCACTAACCCTGCCTCTCACACAAGATGCGTCTTCACAGGAACCCAGCCATTTGGCCCGCTCAATCTCCTCACGCGTCCTCCAGTCCTGATACCTCGTCCAGAGACCGAGCACTGGGTTACCAAGCTGGCAGAAACCGTGCGGCCAAGCGCGCAAAAGCCAATCTCGCTGCTGGACCTTGGCACCGGCTCGGGGTGTATCCCTCTCCTCCTGTGTCATCTCTGGCCAGCAGGGAGCGTCAAGGCGCATGCTGTTGATATCTCTCCCCACGCCCTAGCCTTGGCACAAGAAAATGCACAACGTACAGGCATTCTTCCTCATTCAGATCATGAAAAGAAGCCTCGGAATACATTTACTACCTCCATGGCAAACCTACTTGCGGAGGATTTCCCGGATACCGCGTCGCGCTCTAATTCCCCCTTCGATGTTATCACATCCAACCCGCCTTACATACCGTGGAAGGAATACCTCAAGCTACCCCGTTCCGTGTCCGACTTTGAAGATCCCAAGGCTCTCTTCGGGGGCCCATCTGGCCTTGAGTTTTATCACGCCATCTCTCGTCTTATCTTGCGCTCAGATTTACTCAAGCCGGATGGCATAGTCGCCCTCGAGGTTGGTCATGATCAGGCTGACGCAGTAGAGGCGCTGATGCGCGATACCGGCCGTTTTCGTAGAACAGAAATTTGGCTGGACCCATGGGGTAAGCAACGGACAGTTATAGCACGACCATGATAGGACAGTCCCTTCTGTACATCTAACTCCCCTTTGCCCGTGGTGATATGCGAGATGGGACAGGTCACTTCATCGATAACTCGGAGATCGGGCCCCTCCCCAAAACCAGCCAAACCGGATTGGACGGTCCCGACATCCGACTTGCTTAGTCAGCAGACCGGCACACCGGTGTCTTTCACACCCTGTCATCGTCATGATTGACGCGCACAATATTACTCTCGGCAAGGGGCGCATTCACCTCAATTTTCAAAGTTGTCTTATGACAACCAACACAAAAGCTCTCCTCGTCGTTTCCATGCGGCTTTCATCTCCTGTTCGCGCCCAATGGACCGCGGTTTAGGAGTCCTGCATGAATGTCTTACATCCGGGGCGGCGATGGGCCTCTTTATCCGCTTTCAAGATGCACCGTGCGCGACGTCTCTGGCTTCATTTCTTTTCAAGAGTGATCAGATTCGAGCCTACGAGCACCTGAAGTAATTATCTAGTGGCTGGTTCTCGCAAGTGGCGTCACAGCTTGCTCGCATCACTCGGGTACGTGTCGTTCATTTACGTCGACGGTCGCCAAATAACGTCAGAGAAAATTATGTATGCCAGGGTGTCTCACCGCTTCTACTTCGTGTTGATTGGGCCAACACCTTGGATTTAGTCGTCAGGAGGATGAAGGGCATCGACGCACCCTCGATGTTCGGTCTCCACCTCGCTGCACCCTGTCGCAACCCTCCAGATGCACCATCCAACACCCACTTCCCATTTGTTCGACTGCCAACCGAGATCATGCAAGAGATATTTTCGCGGTGCCTTCCACCAGTCCCCCCCACAAACACCGAACGAATCTACCACCTCCCAGATCTCCAAGGTTTCACGAGGAAGGACGCGCCCCTATTACTTTGTCAAGTCTGTCGGCTATGGCGTCAAGCAGCTCTGTCTATTCCCAACCTGTGGATGGCGTTGGACGTATACGTGTCGACGGGGAAGGCGCGACCAGCTTTGCCACTGGTCAAGCTCTGGCTCGCGCGGTCCGGGGGTCTTCCGCTGTCCCTCTCGCTCTTCCAACAGAACGATTCGAACGCCAACCGAGTCGCCGCCGGAGAGATTCTTGACCTCTACAAGTCCTATATACACTGCTGGTGCAATATCCAGTTCGACTTGACAGGACCGAGATATTCCCGACAGTTGACTCCTCAGCAGAGTTCGGCGCCTATGCTCAAGCAGTTCCGCATGCAGACGTCATATCGAGTGTTCGACTCGGAGGAAGACGACAGGGATCTTTTCGGGATCTTCAACAACGTCCCACGGCTTGAGAAACTTCACGTTTCACGGATTCCGGGCCTCAGTTTGCTCGGAGCAAGTGCCTTCCTGATACCATGGAACCAGCTCGTTTCTCTTACCTTGGACTATGTTCCGTGCGTCGGAGCGAGTCACCATATTCTCGAAAAATGCCCGCGGCTGACGGAAGCAACATTCAAGGTGGATTCAATAGGCAGCGCGCTCGCTGACTATAACCCCGTGAGGCATAGCCTAACCTCGTTAAATATTAACATCGGTCACGAGCAGCTGGGCGCATTTTTGGGTCATATCACCTTACCAGCTCTGGAAGACGTCGCGATTTATGTCAGAGGACCACTGGACCACTACGGATGGCCCCAAGCTGAGTTCGAGTCGTTTCTGAAGCGCTCGCATTGCAAACCAACGCAGTTCGAAATCCACGATACCGGCATGAAGTTCGACGAGTTTGCCGCCTGCCTGCGGAACCCGCACTTGCAACTGTTGGAGAGAATCATAGTGGAGGACAGACGGGATTGGACATGGAATCCCTTTATCACAGACCTGGCAGTCGACTTGCTCACCTTGCCCACCTTCCTCGACAAATCGAGACCGTTGCCGTCGTCTTCCACGCCCAGCGTCAATCCCAATTCACCTGCAGATGCACCCGGAAGCCCCCGATCCGACGATGAAGGCTCCAACGACTCAGGGATGGTCGAAAAGACGTTCTTACCCAACTTAGAGTCTCTCACCTTTCGCGGAAGTTGCTTGTGGACGGTAGATGGAGCAGTGGCAGATATGGTCGAATCGCGTTGGAGGTTCCATTGCAACGCCGTGCGGCGTCTGAGGCGTGTGGAGCTGGAGATGCTTTCGAGCCATGTGGAGGATTTCAGGAGGCTGAAGGAGTTCTGCAGTGAAGGTTTGGAACTGGACTTGCTTTTCCGTTAACCATGAGGCGTAGTCACACATTCTTTTCGTATTTTGGGGTGCTTTTCCGCCAGGTGTTGCACGAGGACACGACATAATCGACTTCCTTAGATTCCTTAGATTTTAGAATAGGCAAGGCTATAATTAGCTTACATCCATCAACTATAGACACTTCAGTTTGCTCAGTCTTCGTCTTCATATCGTACCCTTGAACGAGAAAAGGTATAGATCCTGGTAATCGTAGGTACTTGCGAAGTTTTGTTCCGCCAAGTATAACCTTCTTGAATACTGCGATAGCGATAGGGCGGAAGGGTGCCTCACGTGGGTACCCAGATAAAGAATATTTGCCGCACTGTAGTTTCGCGTATCGGACCGACCGGAATAAACACTCTTTTCTTCCACCCCCATTTCATTATAAAAGTGACTCGGATCTTTGTGGACCCTCTTCTTCATAACTCATCTTGTGCTGTCATGTCTGTAGAACGCCTCGCTTTAGAAGACTTTACCCAGCACTTCTCTCAGCTCACTGGTGAGTTATTCTTATCAAAGTTCTGACCCGTCACCGACGACGGGTACGTCTTCCAGAGCTCTCGAGCGTCGCCCTCGGTGGAAGGATCGCCGCAGTCTCCGATGAATTCTTCGCAGAAGCATTTCATTTGCTCTTGCAAGAGGTGTGTCTCGATTTTAGCATCCTTGTTCCCTCATCTGACCCAAGAATACAGCCCGCGCCGTCCATGAAGGGCCAGTTCGGTCCAAATGGCGCCCTTTATAGCGGTTGGGAGACCAGGCGTCATAACCCAACGTACGACTGGTGCATAATCCAGTTGGGCACGACTGGCACGATTCAGGGGCTAGATGTTGATACCTCCAACTTCAACGGTACCGAAATCGCCACTTTTTACGTTTACCTGTTGTCTGATTGGATACTGTAGGAAACGAGGCGCCTGCCGTGTCTGTTTATGCCCTGCACGACGCAGACCTGCATGACCCGACCCACGACGACGCTCGGGTAGGTGCTACCCTCGACGTTTCGCGTGATAAGTTGCTTACCTATGACGCCAGTGGTCAAAAATCCTACCTAGGTCAGACCTTGGACCGAATTCTCGCCACTTGTTCAAATTTCCGAAGACGTCCTGCGTTAATTATGTCAAGATTCATATGTGCCCTGATGGAGGCATCGTCAGCACCTTTCTTTTAACGGCCATTCAATTTGTCTTACGACTTCATATACAGGCTCGCTTCAGAGTATATGGCGACGTAACTCCGGTCCATCCTGCTGGCCAAACCTCCTTCGATCTTGCCCATGTTTTTGCGGGCGGTCGTGTGCTCCGTATGTCCGATCAGCATTTCGGCGTAGGTGCTAACCTCATCCTTCCGGGCCGCGGGAAGAATATGGGTGATGGCTGGGAAACGAAGCGTAGTCGGACGAAGGGCCATAATGACTGGGTTATCATTCAACTGTGAGTTTTGTCTTAGAGACTGGTGTTTCCGTGGTTTATCCCGTATCTTCTTTCCGTCTATCGCAGAGGCGCCCCTGGTCAGCTTGAACAAGTCGAAATCGACACTCACCACTTCCTGGGCAATTTTCCGGAGAGCTGCGAGATTCATGCGATCTATTCTGGCGTAGAACAGGATTGGCAGGGTGTTCTACCAGACGAGTCGCTGTGGACCTTAGTTCTTCCGCGTACCAAGCTAGGAGCACACAGGCAGCATTACTTCGAGCTGGAGAACGTAGAGAAACGCACTTACACTCATGTCAAAGTAACGATACACCCAGACGGCGGCTTGAAGAGGGTTCGGATCATTGGCCGCAAGGTTGAGCCTGTTACATCAGCGCTGAAGACCGATATAGTACAACCTGTCTTCGCTCAGTCACGATCCCCGTCCTCCACCCGCCACTCCAATATCACCATGATACCCGTCTTGCCACTGACTGCGGAGGAATTCAAACCGTACGGGCAGGTCATCCAAGCCTATGACGAAAGTTCAAAACCAGATAGTCTCAAGGTTACTCCCGCGAACGGAGGCACCGCAGACAAGTTCCACAAGCTCTCTCTTCTGACATCTTCATACCCTCCTGAGACCGGTGCAACGGCCGGTATTTCGGTCTACAGGTGCCAGCCCTTGCAGGATATCGTCGATGGTGTGACGACTCTGAAGACGCTCGAAAGACATCCATTCACGAACCAAGCGTTCATTCCTATGGGTCGCAGCACCTCAGATCCTGCAGATGGCTACCTCGTCGTCGTTGCGAAGAATGGGGCGGACGATCGACCTGATATGACGACACTGAAAGCATTCCTTGCCAGTGGAACGCAAGGTATTATCTATGACGCAGGCATTTGGCGTGAGTCTTCTCTTTCTTTCCAGTCGTGAGCTTCCTAATAGATATGGATGCTAGATCAACCTATGACCGTTCTCAGAAAGGTGTGTTTTAGAGGCACATTCCTGGGCATCTGGGCTGACAACCGTCTTCTAGAGCCTTGATCTTGCCTGCGTCGAGACGCAAATCGGAGACGGCAGTCCCATGGATTGCGAGATCCTGGACCTTGAACCCAACAGTACATACATTCTGAAGCTCTAAGATGGATGAATGGCGGACCTAATAATCTTTAGACGTCAACTTATCATCACCATATACGCCGAATCATATCATGTTAGACATATTTCCCGCTTCAACTGGACAAAAAAAATACATACTTGTACCCAAATCCGAGAGGCATACAGCACGCTTAGAGTTTTGTGCCTGACTTGAGAACTCGTCGTGTTCCTTCTGGGAGACTACCCACAAACTCCCAAATATCATTCTTCAGAGAGTCGGGGCATTCAACAGACGGGAAATGCCCGCCTTCAGGATGCTCCCTCCAGAACACAATATTTTCTGCCAAGGTCGCCTTCGCCCACCATATCGGCACATAGAAGACATCGTAAGGGAAGCAGCTGGCACCAAATGCGACCTTTGCGGGAACACTTTTCTCCAGGACTTGTTCCTTCAATGCCGGAATGGCTTCCTTGTAGATTCTGGCATTCCAGGAGCTTCCTGAGAGGAGGTAGAGGATTGTCCAGGTAATCATGAGCTCCTTGTCCCAGACGTAGCCTGGTTGACAGAGAGAATCGAATTTCTCCCTGAGCCAGGCAAGCATGCCGATGGGCGAGTCCATCAAACAATATGAGATGGTTTGTGGCTTCGTCCCTTGTATCTTCGAGTATCCGGACTCTTTCTGCATCCACCACTGCATGCGCGAAAGTCTCATTTTCTCATCAGGGGTAAACCACCGAAGGATGAGCCAGAGGAGAGTGAGAGGATTTTTGGTGGGAGAAGGAGGGAGGGTTGTGAGCATGTTAAGGTGAATTGCAATACACGAGTCGGGATGTTGAAGAGCGACAGAGCGTAATATCATGGAACCCCAATCACCGCCTTGGCCCATATATCGAGTATATCCCAACTTCAGCATAAGTTGGTGGTAGACTGAAGCGATGCGAGGAACGCCAAATCCTGGCGCCTTCCTCGGGTGTCAGAAATCGTTCAGAGCCGATGAAAGGCAAAACACACCTTGGGAGATGACGAAAAAACGAAGCCTGGAATAGTAGGAGCTACAATGTGGAAGGCCTGCTGGGTCGGGTCCTGTGGAGCAGTCATACTCAGGAGACTTCCAACCTAGCATTAGACCAAGTCATAAGAACTGGAGAAAGACGGTCGAGGATATGACAAATAAAACATACCTCAGTGAAGTTGCCAGGCCAGCCATGTGCGAACAGCAGCGGTATCGCTCCAGGACGTTCGCTGCGGTGGTGGACGAAATGCAAGTTGATGACTTCATCGCCTTGCGGAATGTCCACCGTAAACATTTTGAATGTGGAGTTAAGCCGAGCCTCCACTTTCCTCCAGTCATAGGTGTTTTTCCAGTAGTCGACGAGGCCATTCATCGTCGAAGTGGGTGTCCCGTCCGCCCATTCTTTTCCCTTGGGCTGATCGACGTCAGGAATAATACGCGCCGTTTGCACGCGTTGGTTTATCCAGTCGAGGGTCTCTTGAGAAACGTCAATTTTGAATGGTTGTGGTTGTGCCATCTTGGGTGGTGGAAGTAAGTTGCTAAATGTCCAGAGACCATAGAGGAATGAGTGTACAATATACAGAGCGCATGACAACCGAGGCGTGGGATAGCAGCCGAGGTGATTGCTGATGCCAAGTACGGGGTCCTGAGAATCCTCTCTAAGTTGAAGGGCCATTCTCAGAACATGAATCCTCTCTCTTCAACCAGAGTCTATGATTCGAAACTTCAAGGAATGTAATGTAAGGTCAACGTTGTGCTGATACAAATGATATGAAAAGAATTACAATGATACATCTGCACTGCGACAAGGCTATGAATTTTCCTTGTCGATGTAATTGGCCATTGGATCCTCTTGCATCCGTCTGGTCATTCGGTACGCCTCTATCAAAACATATGAGAACAAACTCAAGAGTAGAGAAAAGAAGACCACATACCCAGCTCCTCTTCTGTTACATCGTGACTCCCGCTCTCCAGACTGCTCTTCTGCTTCTTGCTCGACCTGTCATCACCGTTTTTACCCCCTCTCGCCTTTCTCTTCCTTTCTTCCAAGACAGCCTGCGCTAGCCGGTCTTGGTCCAACTTGACATCACCTTCCCCTACTCGCTTCTTGGAGTAATTCTGCTCGATCTTTTCTATTCGTTCAGAACGGTCTTTTGAGCTGACCTGTTGGTTGGAAGGCTCTGAAGCTGACGTTGAAGCTAACAGTGATTGGGCACTTGAGGCTTGGGTTGCCTCAATACCAGCCTGGCCTGCACAATATGACAGATGCACACTTGAGTGACAGCAAGCGTAACCCCAGGCGCCCGTTGATTTATCGTACCAAGAGCCCCAGACGGCCGTATGGTTGTTGACATAAACTGCGAAAAGATTAACGGAATATCCTAATTGCCGAGCAACGACGTACCATCTTCCGGGTACTTTGATCTTGCTTTCACCTTTTCGCGACCTTTGATGAGCTGTCCTGTCCGGGAGTACTCGACGTAGTTCTCTGACTGCCCTTGCCGAAGCTCGCTTGGAGCAGAATCCAGATATTCAGCACCTCCATATTTCGAAAGAATACTACTTTTCGTGGTATCCTTTAACTCTTCCTTTTTCTGTTTGAACTCGTAATGTAGCAATTCTCCTTGGGTGGGATTGGCATTGAGGTGTACGTCGTTTCCGCGCGCCGCTGCTTGCCAGGCGAAGAGTTGTAGCGATTGCACTTCAGGTGCTTCTCCTGAGTAGCGTAGGAAATTGTCACCAGCAAACTTGGCCTATACACATACATCATCAGCCATGAGCACAAGAGGAGTCAGGGAAAGCACAAACATCTTCTGGAGCAACGTTCTTGATAGGTGCATCTCGCATAGAACGCGTTTTTGGATCATAGTAAGCACTCTCGGGGTCGAGATTTATCAAGTATTTAGCGGTATCTTCACGAATACGAAGATTCCGCACAGTAATGCGGGTCTTTGCGTCGAGTTTTTGACCAACAGCATCAGCAGCGTCCGCATATTTATCTTCATCCGCATCTTCGTCCTCACTTGACCCGAAATCTGCATCGTCCTTCGTAGCGTCAGACTTGCCGGCCTTCGCAACCTTCCGAACAGCAGCCAGATCCGTTGTGGTTTGGTTGTCTATCTCCTCTTCCCTCAGCTTCTGCCTTGCGGCCTCAACAGCTCCGTACTCCTCATAGACCTTCTTGTGTTCGGCAGGATCGTAGCCATTCCAGCGGTCCCGTTTCGCGTCGTAGCCGGTAGCAACATCTTGAATGACATCGTCTGCTTGAATGTCCTTGTTGGTGTACTTTGCGCCTTTCTTGCGTGGACGCTCCAGACAATCTTGCTTCTTATGTGTCATTGCACCACAATTCTCGCAGGCTCCTTTGCGGTACTTCTTTGCGGCTGGTCCAGCTCTAGCTCCTCTGTCATACCAGTTGTCGAGTTTGTTGGCAGAATCGTCATAGTCCGGTCTCCGTTGATGTTGCAATGAGGGTGCACCAGTGTCGAGATACCAGGGTGCCTGTGAGATGTATTCTATATTCCTGCTGTGTTAGAAGAGCTATCAGGGGAAGACACGGTCTTAAACGGCTTACGAGGAATATGTGGATTGATAGCCCGTCCCTCTTCATCCAGAGCAGCCGGAGCAGTGCCGGCCTTTCGAGCGGCATCGAGGTCCTTTTGACGTCTGAACTCCTCCCTGGAGAGTTTTCCGACCGCTGTAGCAGAGTTAGAGATGCTGGTAGAGCGCAAACATATAGCACAAGCATTCACCTGAAGAAGAAGCCATTGTCGGGGAGATAGAAGGTTCACCTCAGCAGGCCGGTGACGCTGGAGTTGAAACACAGTATTTGTTGCTGATTGGCTCTGTCATCCCGATTGAGATCTGACCGATGCTCAATGCATCCGAGGCGCAAGTCATCCATGACTCCCAACGTTGGTTCACTACAAGGATTCAATCGTCTGCTCACAAGGCCTTGCATCCGAAGTAAGTCTTGTAGATGAATTGCTTCGATATCTCGCTAATTCTCGTAATTTCAGCGCCTTCAGTTGCTCCCAGTAACTAACACAAGCACATTACGCGTTGATCCCTGGGTCATGTCCAAACGCGCTCTCTCTTCCAATGTGACACCTAGTAAGAACAAACGCTTCAAGGCTCAGCACAATCAACATCAAATTGATCACTTTTTTGCCTCTCCAAAGGCAAAGCAACCCAGTACTACGTCAACCTCAACGCCTGAGTTTGTTCAGGGAAGCTCCCGGTCCAAAGCCGCCACAACTGCTCCAAAGCATCCAGCGACTCCAGAGGTCATTGATGTTGATGCCTTTGAATCGCTAAACTCTGCCCCAGTCGCTGCACCAGAGCCCGTTTCTCCCGTCAAGAAAAAGTCAACGCCGTCTCAACCCCTTCGCGTTGCGAAGGTCTCTGAGAGCGCGATAGGGATTGATACCTACTCAGCCCTCGACGTGGATCCAGTTGTGTATGATCAATCACAACCGTCAGGCTCTTCGAAAGCTCCTTATTCCCTCTTGACGCGTGCATTGGTGAGCTTATCGCAAACACGTTCGCGGATCGCCATCATCAATACTCTGACAAATGTGCTGCGAACGATTATTTTGAAACACCCTACATCTCTTCTACCAGCTGTGTATCTCCTGTCCAACACACTTGCCCCTCAGTTCGTATCCATCGAGCTTGGCCTTGGTGCCTCCATTCTTTCGCGCTCAATCCAACAAATATCTGGCCTGTCTCCCGCAGCTCTCAAGAAATTATACAACACCACTGGAGATCCTGGTGACGTTGCCTTCGCTGCGAAATCCAACTTGAGGACCCTCGTTCCTCATCCACCGTTAACTGTGCCCTATGTCTACGAGTCGATGATTAGAATCGCAAATTGCAAGGGTCCAGGCGCTGCAAAGGAGAAGCAGAAGATTGTTGAGAAGCTGCTGCTCGCTGCGATAGGAGAAGAAGTTCGCTATCTCATGCGAACTCTCTGTCAGAATCTTCGTGTTGGGGCTGTTCGGACATCGATACTCACTGCCTTGGCAAGGGCAATCGTGCTCACACCCCCACTGGGCGTTTCTACCGACCCAAGCAGTGGCGAGATTGAACACTATGCCTCCTCCGACCTTTTGACGAAGCTAAAGGAGCTGGACCCTTCGATCTCGTCTTCGAAAGGGAAGGCTCGAGACGCTGAAAGGGAGGAGTTGATTGGGAAGTTCCAGCGAGCCGAAAGCTTGGTCAAGCAAGTCTACGTCAAGCATCCAAGTTATGACCAACTTATTCCGGCTCTTCTTGAAGGTGGTTTTGACTCCCTGGCAGACCGCGTCCCTCTCACTGTTGGTTCGTGTTTCCACTGCAGAGAACTGCTTGCACCAAATTCACCCATGGCGATGCCACAGGAATACCACTGCTTCCTATGCTGGGCTCACCAACTCGTTCATTGGATGAAATATATAATCGCCTCGGCGGTCTTCCATTCGCAGCCGAATTTAAATACGACGGCCAAAGAGCCCAAATACACGCCTCGCGAAGCCCGGATGGGAAGGATACTATAAAGATCTTTTCACGCCATTTAGAGGACATGACATCCAAAGTAGGAGCCATTTCAATTTTTCACACCCATCGTCAAACTGATGCGCCGTTTAGTATCCAGACGTGATCGCCTTGGTGAAAGAAATGTTTGATGAAACCCCCAAGGCTACGTCCTTCGTCATGGATGCAGAAATTGTCGCGATAGATCCAGCGACTGGAGCATTGAAAACGTTCCAAGAGCTATCCAATCGCGCTCGAAAAGATGTCAACCTCCAGGACGTCAAGATTCTTGTATGCGTTTTCGCCTTTGACCTGATGCACCTAAATGGGGAGGTAAGGTGAACATGACCATCAACCAGTAGTTAGTTCTTTGACGTCTGCTTTTTGTTTCAGCCTTTACTTGGACTCACGTTCCGAGAAAGGAGATCTCATCTCCGAACACACTTCACTCCGCGAGCAAAGCAGCCGACCGACGTGCTTCCAATCGCCCATTTCAATTTCGTTGAGAGCTGTGAAAGCGAAGACGGCAAGACAACCATAGAAGGATTCCTCGCCAAGGCCGTTGAGAACCGCTGTGAAGGATTGATGATCAAGGTCACTATTCTGTTAATTCGCCTTTGCATCGACAATTCACTAATACAGATTCAGCTGCTCGACAAAGCTCCGGTCGACCTAGATGCGAAACAAGGCAGACTCAAATCTTTGCCATCGACATACGAGCCAGATATTCGAACGTCTGCGTGGTTGAAGCTCAAGAAGGATTACATGGATACCATCGGAGACTCTTTAGACGTCATTCCTGTTGGTGCATGGCATGGGAATGGGAGAAAGGCGCAGTGGTGGAGTCCCGTTCTATTGGCGCTGTGGAATCCGACAACTGGACGTCCTGTGGCTCTGTGCAAATGCATGTCAGGTGCTATTCTTTGTTCCTTAGTTAACTCGTCTGCTTGGATTAACCCCTTGATTCGTAGGTTTCAGCGACGTCTTCTATAAAGTGAGCTATGTGGTATAATCTGCAAAGCCAACTCATAGAAGAGGTCCTCTAGTCGATGAGGGAACGATACGACCCTGGCTCGGAACTATGTTCCAAGCAACCTCTGTGGGAGTGCGACTTTGGAGGTCGGTAATAAGCGCGTCTCTTGACCCCAGTGGTACTGAAAATGACTGTGTAGGTTACAAACCCGAGATCTATTTCAAACCACACGAAGTTTGGGAGCTCAAAGGTGCTGAGTAGGTAGATATAATATTTTCGGGTTCAACTGCTCTGACATTTCTTCTCTGTTACAGCATAACGGAAAGCCCAATATCGGTAGCCGCACAAGGGCTTGTACCATCCTCAAGAGGCCTCAGTCTACGATTTCCTCGGTTTATCACAACGAGGGAGGATAAGGGCATTGACCAAAGCAGTACTCCGTCGTTTCTCGTTGACATGTGGAGGAGCCAGCAAGGAAGAGGTGGATGTGGTGGCAACGACGATGGAGAGCTTATGGATGTCGATTTTGAGGAATCCGAGCCGGAGTATGAGTCAGAGGTTGATGATGATACTTAACATTCCGCAAATTCTACTACGTTTCTAAATGTCTCTACGCTAGTGTATTCGATCCCACCGCTCCTTGACTACACAACGGGAGCCGATCCCTGCAGACCTGTACTACGTGCAGGGCGGCGCGGTCGAACATGAAATAGGGGTGCTGAGCCAAATAAACATCAATAACGCGTCGCGTCGTGAGGCAAAAAAGTTTGACCTCAACGTTTAAGCATCCCTTCGCCACTATGCCATCCCGCTTCGCTATCCTACCCTCAGGTAGTTGCAGCGCTATCACGAACCTTGCTTCTTTCTAATAAAATACAGATATCATTCAGTACCTCTCCCTGTCTCTCAATGACACTTCTACGATCACGCCAGAGTTTCACAACAGCACTCACGAACCTCTGCAAATTCTACGGTTGCCACATCCACGAACAGGTGATATTTTCTCTATGTAACCTTGAAGATTCGGATCTGATGACATTCTAGGTCTTCCATCTTTATTCCTGCCTCTCGAACATCTGCAGTCACGTTCAAGTGTCGACTTTTCAGACGCTGGTGTCTTGGAAATACAAGCGGTATGCCCGCCAGATGAGAGATCATGGATAGTTGGAGAGGAAGTGGTAGCGGGTATGCTTTTGTCCAGTCTATGTGATCCATCTGACTGTCCTTTCACCTAGATGGCAAAATGTTGACCATGATACCCATTGACCCGGCCTTCCTGTTGCTGCCTATTTTACAAACAACACAGCCTGCAGGTACCTCCTCTGCGCTGAATATACCCGCGACTGACATGTACTTGTCTCAAGTTGGATGGCTCTTCTGTTCAATTCAGAACCTTGGACGATCTCTTTGAAGAGGGAACGAAAAAATTCGAAACTTCTCTCCAAGAGCGAGGGAAAACCACAGCGCCTCGGACTCAAGATATCCACAGACTCTGCTCCCTTGAGTGTACACGAAAAGCTCTTTCGCGACTTTGTGAAGTCAAAGGTCAGCGGCGGTAATGGTTTTCATTCCCTGATCTGACCTCCATGAAGAAATCTCCCCTGAAATTATTGTATATCGATATTCGCCCGCCAAGTTCCTTAAATACTTGCGTGCAAAGGTTGCATATCTCGAGTCAAGTGTGGTTCTAGATAAATCGCAAACTGTGATAAGAAACCTCGCCAAGGAGGGCCTAATGGATGATGGGCGAGAAGATCTTTTGCGCCGTGCGTTCCGCTTCTTGCAAGCAACCTGATCCCCTATTTATTCTTGTCCTAGTTGGACGCACTCAAGCTTGTTGCGATTTGCTTTCCCAATACCTTCCGCCAGAGACATATGCCACCCTTCTTGCTTCATACGAGTGAGGGCTCTACTTCGCTAGGCCCATTCCGGAGATACTGATCTCTTCGCCCAGTTTCTCTTCTCTTCAAAAGCTTATACAAGCCAACCGGGACGAAGCACTCACTGCTGCTGCAGTTGCTGCTCCTCCAGCAAAGGGAAAGGGCTCCAAAGTGGACATAAAAGTTGCGACAGCTACTAATGGCAAGAAACGAAAGGCAACGAAGGCGTCTCAAGGAGTAGAAAAACTGAAGAGAGTCAATACCACTGGCATGGCAAAGCTATCTAGTTTTTTTGCTAAATCATAGCTACCTGGTCATCTTCTGGAACGGTGTAAACTGTTCTCTCTAAGTACTAATTAGCACTGTATTTACTGACCGTGGAAGCTCCTTGTTACGCAAGTAACCAACGCGTTTCGCACCTGGCTCTAACTCTCGTGTCACAACTCTATCATGCTCGTTGACTCTCGACTCTTGTAACTGTTCTGCATAGCTGTCCTCAGGCTCTCGCTCTTTCCAGCTCTCTTCTCGCATTGCTGTTTCTCGATAACATGTCTTCTCATTCTCCGCTCCCGAAGCAATACGAAGATAAGGCCGTCCAAACCGACACCACCGTCCCGTCTCTCGCTCGCGACACCCTGTGCTCAATTACCTCCGGATCGCGCTCTGAATATTCAAGTCACTCTCTAAGTGCGCTGGACTCTTCAGATCCTGAACATGAAACCGAAAACACCGCATATATGCACCCGCACACTCAGGCAGTCAAGAACTCGGATCCGCCCACGTCTCTGTCTCCTTGTCCGGTTCGCAAAGTATGGATAGAAAGTTCCCGCCCTTCTGCTTTTGACACCAGCTTCTCGAAAAGAGTGGTCTCTCTCCCAGATACGCTGGACGATGCAGCTCTTCCACGAGTTGAAAAGCAGCTGCGAATTGTCTCGATGCCAGAGCAAAGACGTGGTCACTCCAGACTTGGTTTGGGTATTGCTTTCTCCCCGAACGACAACATCGGTGCCTACGAACATGTTCGCGGCTCCAACTATAACAAGCCGTATCCTTCCGACCTACCCCAGACCCCGTCTCCACCCTCTTCGCCGGACTCAGTGATGATCATCTGTCATGAAGCTCATGTTCCAAACACTCTCCATCGCAATTCACGCAGCGCAGACCAGGACGGTCAGTCTTTCTCCCTTCCGTTAAGTTTGCTTCTTAAATCTCTACTTCACAGGTTGGATTACTTGGGCGAATTCTCCACCACGCCCAATTCCTGCTCTGCACGGCCCTTTGTCCTTACCATATGCTCGGTGCCCGTCGTAAGGCCATCTGTTCATTTAAGAGATGCCGAATGCTCATGAGCAAACACAGTGGTGCTGAAGGCACTGTCATTGAAGGTGACGACTTGTCGAATAAGATCTGGGGCCTCGGGGGAGACGATTCCCAAAATGCTTCGAGATCGACCCGAAATAATAACGATGCTAGCGTCACTCCTGGCTCTCTCGGCATGGTCGAATATCGTGAATCGCAATTGTCTTCCCAGCGTCAGAGAGATGCTGTCATTGATCTAGCTATGCCGTCAACATTTGCCAATCGTGCTGGTGCTCCTGCTAATGTTCTTCCGAGGCGCGTGGCCGAAACTGGAGCTTCCTTTGGTCCTCAGCACAACGCGCACAGTCGAAGCCAGGTTGAGCACCGCTTCCAGGAGACGTCTATCTTGCGTGGCGCCTCAAGAAACCCTGATTTCCGACACCTTCAGGTTGATGCGAATCGTCTTAGCAGGAACATAGGCGACCCTCTAGGTCTTGGTCTACAGTGGAGCTCTCCATCTTCCGGAAGCGCAAAGGAATATCGAACTTCGAACAATCAAGTTGGACCTACAAGACAAAGCCATCTCAATACTGCTGCTCCTGTCTTTGTCCCTGAAAACTCTGTTCGCACTCGAAACGACGCATATAGTCGTCCTTTAGGAAGCAGTCAAGACAGAGCTTATTTTTCTCGGCCTTTATCAACCGTGGACATCTCACAGCAGTACCGCGCTCAACAGGACTACAACATTCTGACGCCTCCAAGCTCTTCGTCTACTCAATGGTCGCCTGTCTTCTCGCGACAGCCTGATCCTGTTCTGTATTCATCTTCTCAGAAGAAACCCAGTCATGTCTTGCCAAACCAACAGGATCCAGGGATATATTCTCCTCAGTCTGATCTTGACGACTATCCGAGGCATCTCCTCATGTTGATGCAGCAGATTCAAATGGGTCGAGAAGGTGAAGTTATGCACGAAACTTCGGCTTCGTTAGAGTCGCTAGTCTTGCAGGGAGACTCTGCACTGAACGTCGCCCGTTACTCTGCTCCGGCCACTCCTCATATCCCTTCTTCGGCATTGCTGGAACCACAGCATCACCTCGTCTCTGACGTCGCCCTTGCTGTCGAAGATCAGAATGCACCGACAGCTTCGGGCGATCGTCGTCGCAATCTTTCATACCAGCATCCTCGCTCTATCCCTCTGGCGCGCCTAATTCAGCGGAGGCTTTCGTCCGTAGCGGAAGAAGATATTTCTGCTGCTAATTTGGATTATAATATGTCCATGTTGAAGAGTATTCACATGAAGCCGTATTTCGACCGACAGCAAGGGCCTAAAGCGCCGAAGGTTCAGCAAGAAGCTCCGACCCAGGCTAACCGCTCTGTGAGCGGTAGTGAATCCGAAGCCAGGAAGAAGGATGAACCTCATGTCGACAGCCTGAGTAGGAGGGACAACCATCAAGCGGGCGAAAGGGCAGGGTCAAGCGGGCCAGCCCGCTTCCCCAGAAAGCAGAGCGGGGTACATCCGAGGACGACAGATCAAAAGACGGATGCGGGCCCGAACGACGGAAGAGGACCCGCAGCCAATGACAGCAGCTTTGAGAAGGAGAATGTGGATGAAGATGAAGCGCGGAACGAAATGCCAAGGAGGTCTAGGCCAGAAGCGCCCAACAGGAAGATGAGGTATCGGAGGAGAGGCAGCACCCCCAGTGCACAAGACAAGTCGTCAGAAGCATAGACCAACACGGAATCCAGGGATTTGTACGAACATTAGTCGCATTTTTCATACCTTAGAGCAGCATGTAATCCAAAGAACTCAAGCATTTGTACAGTGTATTAGTTGTTGCATAAAAAGAGTGTATTCTCGCATCTAGGGCTCAATACATCCCCAAATGAGCGTCTAAACAACAATCTAAGCCTTGACGAACAGATCCGTGAACTTGTCAACGGGGAGCTTGGAGAGCGAAGCCGCGTCCGAGACGGTGTCGAGGATCTTCTTCTGGTAAGCCTCGTCGTAGTGGTAGGAGATGTGCCTCTTGAACTTGTTGATGAGGAGCGGGGTACCTTCGGTTCGGCGGCGCTTGTGGCCGACGGGGTACTCGATCTCCACCTCGTCGAGGACGGTGCCGTCGTTGAGCTCGACGAGGAGTGCGTTGCCGATGGAGCGCTTGGCGGGGTCGTGGTACTCGGTGCTGAAGCGTTTCTCCTCGACACAGTAGATCTTGGCGCGGAGGGCATCGATGCGGGGGTCGGCGGCGGAGGCATCGGTGCTGGAGAGAAATGGATGAGTTTTCTGCTGGTGATTTAATTTTTTGAGTACTTACTAGCTCTCAGATGTGAGCTCGCCGAAGATCAGCGGATAAGCGACCATGTAATTGATAGCGTGGCTGCATAGAAAAGCACATGCTCGTCAACACGTCCTGCACGAGGACAATAAAAAAAAACTCACTCTCGGTCAGCAAAGTTGTCCAGCGGACCCTGCTTGTCGATGATACGGATGGCGGCCTCCTGGGTACGGATGCGGACGCTCTTGATATCGTCGGAGGACTTGCCGAGCTCCTTGAGCTTGTTGTGGATTATGTGGGCGGCCTCGACGGCGGTTTGCGCGTGGAACTCGGCGGGGAAGGAGATCTTGAAGAGGACGTTCTCCATGATGTAGGAGCCATAGGGGATCTGGAACTCGAATTGCTTGCCCTGAGGTAGGATAAACGTTTTAGATACTCTGGAATGGGGTGTGGTAAATTTGTTGCTGGACCCACCTTGAAGAGGACATCATAGAAGCCCCAGGTCTTAGCAGTAAGGACAGAGGGAAGACCCTTTTCGCCCTTCTTCACCATCAACGCCAGGTTGACGGCGCGCGAGCAGGCATCGCCAGCAGCCCATGCCTTCCTCGGGCCAGTGTTGGGCGCATGACGGTATGTACGGAGGGACTGGCCATCAACGAATGCTTGGGAGACGGCGTCGACGGTCTGGTCGCGGTTCAAGCCGAGGAGCTTGGAGACGACGGCGGTGGAGGCGACTTTGACGAGGACGACGTGGTCGAGGCCGACGCGGTTGAAGGAGTTGAGGAGGGCGAGGCCGCCTTGGATCTCGTGGGCCTTGATCATGGCCTCGAGGATGTCGCGGACGGTCAGAGGCTGGCCTTGACGTGCGAGATGGTCGGCGACGGCGAGGATGGCACCCAGGTTGTCAGAAGGGTGGCCCCCTGCGGAAAAGGACGTGGATCAGCGCGATTTTTGGGAAACGTTTTGGGAGACCCACACTCAGCAGCGAGAAAGCAGTCGTTGAAGTCGAGCCATCGGATGGCAGCTCCGATGTTGAACGCGCCGCGGATGGGATCGAGCTGGTAGTTGGTGCCCGGTACACGAGTTCCTACGGGGAAAGGGCGAGGTCAGTACTCCGATCCCGACTAGATCGCAGGACATGGTCTCGGGATCGCACCATTTGGCACGATGGTGCCCTCAACGATGGGCCCGAGGAGCTTTGTGCACTCGGGGAACCTGAGGGCCTCGAGACCACACCCAATGGTATCGATGAGGCAGAGCCTGGCTGTCTCGAATGCGAGATCGGAGTCGACCTTGTAGTTGTGGACGTAGTCTGCGATGTCCTGGAGAACCTTGTCTGGCTCTGGACGGAGGGTTGACTCGCCGGCGTGGTGGGACATGGTGCGGGAGGAGGAAGGGGGAGATCCGGATAGCGAAGGGAGGACGACCCGGGATACCGGAGCGGGGCGGACGAAGGGGGATGCTGAGCCAGCAAGAGCGCGCCGTCCACGAGCGAGGAGACGAGAGCGGGTGAGGGGGAGGCCGACACGAGAGACGGTGGGCAGCATCGGGCACAGGCGCGCGTTTGACACGTCGAGGAAAGAGAGACGGCTGCCTTTAACCCCCCATCCCCGCCAAGAGGGTTTGCCCGTGATAGTATGGGGATGCCGCTTCAGGTTTGTTCCTTCCGATCAAGTGTTTGGTCCAGACGCCCCCGGCAACCACTCTCCCCTCAATCACTCCAGTTGCCGGACACAACACGCCAGCCAATGACACAGCTTGCTGTCCTTCACCATGAACGTCGACAACGAGAGCAGCCCCTCGGGCTCGGCAAACTCGCACCAAGAGGCATCCCAAAAGGTCAAGAAGAGGCGTCTGCACGGAGCCTGCGATGTCTGTCGCAAGAGAAAGAGTACGTGCGTCCTCGTCCTTTCAGGATCATCGCTCACGCGCAATTAGTCAAATGTACGGATATAGTTTCTGCCCCCCTGTCAGTGCGCGTCTAAGCTTCACCGACAATGCCCAGGCGATAGTGCTGCTATGCCAGGCAATGTCTGCACCAATTGTCAAGTCTCAAACATCCACTGCACACATGATATTCCCCGCCAGCCCAAGGTGCGTATATTTGAACGTTGATGTCATCATCCCTCTAAGCGCTCATACAATTGGGAATATAGAAGAAGGACACACAACAAGCGTATGCCTCTCCACTGTACTTCGAGGACCACCCTCATGCTTTCACAGCTACATTCAAAGCCTCGAGGAAAGGCTCGACAGGATGGAAAAGTTCTTGCACACGGTATGTCTTGCGCAGTTCCACACTCATGTACAGCCTTTTGACTTTGATGTTCCAGGCCCATCCTGAGAAGGACATCGACCACCTCATCGGCGAGCCTGAAGACGATGATGACGACATGGACACCTCCGCCGCCGTCTCTATCTCTCCCAACTCGCACCCTAAATTCCCGTCTCCTTCACTCAGTGGCACCAAGCGGGCCGCGCAAGCACCATCAGAAGACCCCTCCGAAGCAGAAGACCTCGCACACATTGCCCTCTCTGAACATCTGAGCCAACTATCCATGGAGGCCGTCGAGGATCGATTCTTTGGTCAGTCTAGGTAAGCCGCGCATCGTTCGTCCCTTTCGGCATTTTCTAAAACCCGTATTCTAGCGGATTTATGTTTGTAAAGCACGCTGTTGCCGTAAAGACTTCTGTCACGGGCAAAGGCGGTCCTGTGAAACCTTCTGGCGAGTACCTCGACGGGGCGTGCTTCAGACGACCGCTATATTGGGACATACGGCCAGTCAGTTGATTTCTAAACTACTCGTGACTGAACCCTTACTAAATTCTCCCTTCTCATCGTGCAGTGGGAGAAGGAGTTCTCGACGATCCGCGACCCAGCATACGTCTTCCCCGACGACGACCTCCTGCAAAGCCTCGTCCAGATATATTTTGAACAAGCCAACACGTTGCTGCCCGTCCTGCACCGGCCGACCTTCATGCGCTCCCTGGCACGCCGCGAGCACCTCTGGGACCCCTCGTTCGGCATGACAGTACTGCTCGTCTGTGCCGTCTCCTCGCGATACTCGGACGATCCCCGCATTTTCACACCGGGAGACGAGTCCGGGCTGTCGTCGGGCTGGAAGTATTTTTGTCAGGTGCCGATACATCGAAATCCGCTGCTGTATAGGTCAACTATACATGATTTGCAGTATTATACGGTACGTTCGTTCGTGCCGGTCAGTTGGTTATTAGTGTCTGATTCGAGACTGGAGCTCAGCTTGCGATCATTTACCTATTAGGAACGTCGATCCCACATGCTGCATGGAATATTCTGGGGTTAGGGATACGGTATGCATGCGAGAAAGGTGCTCACCGGCGGAAGGGCAACGCGTCGAAACCTACTGCCGAGGACGAGCTACTGAAGCGTGCTTTCTGGTATGTAAATACATCTGAAAAAAACATTCAGATCAAGTTGACACTGTTCCGCAGGTGTCTGATTAGCATCGACCGCATCATGAGCTCCTTCCTCGGCCGGCCATGTGCGATCAACGACGAAGAGTAAGGTTTTCTCTCCCCTCCTCCACACCTACCTTTCTCAAGCAATACCCAACGCAGCTTCGACGTCGAGTATCCCATCGAGTGCGACGACGAATATTGGGAGACCGAGGACCCCGAGCAAGCGTTCAAACAACCCCTAGGCAAACCATGCATCATCACTGCCTTCGTCTGCCACCTCAAGATGTGTGAGATCCTCGCATTCACACTGCGCACGCTGTACTCGACGAAGAAGTCCAAGCTGCTAACAGGCCTGATTGGGAACGAGTGGGAGTCCAGGATCGTCGCCGAGTTGGATTCGTCGATGAACCAGTGGAAGAATTCGTTACCCGAATTTTGTAAGTTGCTTGCTTCTCTGACGGACTGCGTCTGGGTAGCGCTGGCTCAATGTTTGACGGACTTCTATGTTTCTATTCTTTTCGGACATGATTCCCTAACGAACCCCCACTCGAACCAATGAACAGTACGCTGGACATCCGACATGAAAGACCCCGCGTTCTTCCACCAGTCGGTGTGTCTGCACGCGACGTACTACTACGTCCAGATGCAGATCCACCGGCCCTTCCTGACCAAGATATCCCCGCTCTCCTTTCCCTCGCTCGCGATGTGCACTAACGCGGCGCGCTCGTGTTGCCACCTCCTTGAGGTAGCATTGCAGCGGGGGTTGAAGCCGTATCCTAACATTATTGTGCGTATCTCTGTTATTTTCGTTTTATTTGGGGGAGGGAGCAGACTGAGAAGCGTTTTAATTGTAGATGGCGGCGTTCGTTTCTGGGATCGTGATCCTGTTGAACTTGTGGGGCAGCAAGCGGTCTGGATTGATCGACGACCCGGCAAAGGAGATGGCGAATGTGCACAAGTGCCTCGACGTGCTCAGGGTATGTGAGAAGAGGTTCGTATGTCTCGTTTTACCTCTTGGACTTCTTTTTGCTCAATGTGTTGGATTTGCTTTTTTTTTCTGTAGATGGCACATTGCCGGTCGGGTGGCGTAAGTTGTGTTCCTCCAGGTACAAGTGTTTGTTAAGTCATCCTGTTCCAGTGATATGTTGGCAGAACTCGCCTCGTTGAGCGACTACGAGACTCGGTACGACGGCGATGGCGATACGAAGAGACAACCGGACCAGCAAGCATTGCGAAACCCAGGCATCACCTGGCCGTTCGCCGCCAGCCTCTTCCAACCACCCCGCGAGGACAAAGATAGGCCCGAAACTCCTGTAGCACCCCAATCCGCTCCTCATCCCCAAGCCCAGCCTCAAGCCCAAGCCCAGCAACCTACACCCTCCTCCACCCCCTCTTCCAACAACAGCGGTCTCCCCTCCGGCCTGCTCAGCCCCTCACAACTACCTACCTCCTCACCCACAAACGCCCTCGCCTCGCCCTCGCCATACCAGCTAGACACGCTGGCATCCATGCCCGCGAACGACTGGGACCTGAGCAACCTGCTGATGGTGCAGATGGGGTACGTGCAGCAGGCGCAGGCGCAAGCGAGCGACCCGGGGCAGCAGTTCTTTGATAGTATGAACATGGCGATGTTCATGCCGATGGATTTGGGTGGGTCGGGTTCGGGTTCGGGGATGGGCGCGGGTGTGGGTGTGGGGATAGGCCCACAAGCACAGCAGGCGCCGCCGATGCCTCAGCGGATGCAAAGTCAGGCCCAGCAGAGTCAAGGGCAAGGGCAAGGACAGCAAGGACAAGGGCAGGGACAGATGCATCAGCAGATGCCGGGACAACATGGCCAGCAGCAGCGAAACACCGCGCCAGGCTTGTTTGGGTATGGGTTACCGCTGATGCAGCAGCAGCAGCAACAGCAACCGGCGTTCATGGGCCAGATGAGCAGCTTTGGGATGAACGAGGAGATGTTCTCGTTGTGGTCGGATATTCCTGCTGCGTTTAGGTGCGCCGTTTGCTTGCTTTTGGGTTCGACGATAGTTGCTTATGCATAAACTTCTTTTTTCACGGCCTGCAGTGCGGAAGAGTGGGACGCGTATGTGGCACATATGGGCCAGCAATCGTAGCTTTATTCTTCAAGTTCTCCGCTCTCGTTCTTTCTGATGCTGTCCGAATTCGAATTTTATGGACTTCGTAACCCCCTGATATTTATCCTATCTAGAAGGGCTTGGGCTGGAATGGTTGGCTGGTTGTATATGTTGACGTTCAAGTTAAGGAGGAGAACTGGGGAAAGGGACTGTCTTGTATCATACGATGTTTGTACGTTAATTAGGTGAACGAATCTTCAAATGCTGGGGTAATAGAGCCCGCAGAGGAGAAGACGAGAACTCGTGGAATGGGGATGACTGGACAGCGTCCTGGGTAGCACATTTACGAGGAAAGTACTCATTCGAGGTGGTGTCAGAGAGATAACCCTCCATCACGGAACCGAGTTGGACGTTGGGTAGAGCAAAATGATTGCTTTCCCCAGATTCTTTACAGGAGTTATCATACCTCTTTTCATGAGCCTTTATCATCGCCTACAATGGGCGAACCGGGAACCCAGTGCAACGTCGACGATCAGCAGTGGCAGCCAGCGTGTTGACTTGCTCGCTGTTGTACCTGAGTCTGCCAGGAGGATATAAATCGGACCCGCGTTTGTGCTCGGGATATCAGAGTTTCAACAATGGACGGGACGTGCGGCTAGATGTTGGCTTAGTGAGATGGCTCGGCGAACCTCACAGCTGACGATTATTGCATCTCAGCAGGGACAGGGGGGGCATTCACTCGTCGCGTATGCAGAATCCCGCAGGTTGAGCCTTGTTGATCGGGGTGAAAGAGAAAGGATATGGATACCGCGTTTTACCAACCTAATACATAAATCCTATGGGAATAAATTAATGCGGAGTTGACTTGCCATTTCCCCTGTTGCTTATTGGCTAGTACCGGTTGTCGATGTCTTATCCGCAGTGATGTAGTTGAGTACACGAGTAGCAGCGCGGTATGAATAGCCATACAGCAAGAAGTATTGTACAATCTAGCAAGATGCCCGAGTTTCTGACAAAATCTCAGCCTGAAAGCGCCCATGTTCATAAGCGCCCGCCGGTGGTGGCGGTGCATTAGTAGTCACGTGATACGATAATCTCTCTCTGGTCCGGCATAGGTTGTCCTTGTCTCTGCTCGCCATGAATGCCGGACTGGCTCATACTATGGACTCGCTTTTTGGACCGCCTTCAGAGCCCGTAGATATTTCAGCATTCCTTGAATCTACTTCTTCACTACCGCACGGCTTTACCACGTCAGAACCAGAGTCTCAGGACATCGCGGATGAGTGCAAGTATGTCCTACACATCCTCAGAGGTCGGATAGCCATTGAATTAGCTTCAGCGTTTCAGACATACAGCAGTCGATTTCCGATATATGGAATGAACCTACACTTTCCGCTCACCTCATGAAGGATCATGACCACATTGTATGCGCTCTTCATTCCATCAACTCGAAGACTTCGAAACCTGGACGAAAAGCGAATCTTCCCGATCCTGACACCTTGTCCCTTCAAGTAACGAATCTCCAGAAGGCGATGGATGCCGTTTCATTGAAGAGCTTCAAGTACCTCGCACTGTGCTTCTGTATTGACGTATCTTAAACTATTCCAACAGATTGAACACAGATGCGGTGTTGTTCATGCGAGGCCCGAAGAACTCTGATCAGAATATTCTGGACAAAGTGGTGCGTTTTCTGAACCGCCCTCCGTCTCGTAAATCTCATCTTCAGATGCACCAGATGTCAGCAGGTTCGGATATTGTGGCAGGAAATCACGATGCAATCCTCATTATGTCCATCCACGACAGAGTTCCTTGGGGACCGAGCTACGTCACACGGTCATCCCAGCATGTGCTGTTAGCCTCGCAAACGTTGCAGGACCTTTGTGATACCATCCCTTGTGTGTCGAATAATCTTCCGAAGGAAGTTGGTATCCCAGAGGGTAGCGGTAGCGTCATCGTCGTCGAAGGTCGCGTGTATGGCAGTGACGATTATGCAGAGTAGGCCCTTCACATTCCCCTGCAATGCAGAGTCTAGACTCATCATATCTGCAGGAAACTCTTTGAACACCTGAATAAACTCGGAAAGAAAGGATCTGAATCCATCTCTAAAGCACCCTCTTCCTTGCAAAAAACCAAGTTCTCCTCTCTAACTCTCCGCCTTGATGAACCATATTGGCTTGTTCATCGAGGCAACTGCGAGCACTTCCTTGTCGTTGATCAGATCAGGTTCGTTCTGTTCCTAGCGCTCCCCTTCATCATCCCCATGCCCTTACATCGTCTCAGGTTACTTCACCTGTCAGATCCTCGATCCGGGTACCCTCTCAAGCTCCAAATCACACCTACTCTGCTGGACTTGTGCCGTGCCTGTGGAAAGATTCCCGCAGTCTGGTCAATTGTGGGAGATGTTCGCCTTGGTGAGAGCCCTTGCGTCCTGTGTGGGCCATGTTGGAAGAGCATGGGTGATCCTGAAGGCGAAGAGGTTGTCGCGTTGTCATTACCTGACTACAAATATTATTGACTGGTTAGTCCCGAGTTTGGGTTTATGTAAGATGCGTTGCCAAACAATCGGTGTAAACTTGATGTCTGCTAGTAGTTTCTCGATTTTCGTTGTCCGTCTTTGCGCAAATGTCGATCCCTGCATCCACGAACCAGTTGGTTGAATCGCTAGAACAATACGAAGACGTTGTATTGTGGATTAACGACACACTCACACCAAGAGATGGCGACGATGACGACAGCTCTCCTCTTCCCCTCACCGACCTCACAGAACTAGACCATCAAATAACGCAGCTCTTGACGACCCTCGATATCGCCTCGGAGGACGCGTCGGCGCAAATAGAACGGCTCATAGATGATGTATCGCGTGGTATACCACGTCTGGCATATGACCTCCATTTCATGAAGGATGGCGCATCCACTCTGCAAAACGCACTGGTTGGTGTACTGCAGCGATCTCGAGACGCTATTCCGAAGGAGACAAGCGAAGCACTGGACAACCTACACCAGCTAGACACTGTGAAGGGCCGGATGGAGGCAGCACGCGAGGTTCTACGAGAGGCGGAGAGCTGGAGCACCCTTGAACACGAAGTCACCTCCCTTATCGCAGAGAAGAGCTATGCAAAAGCCGCGGAAAGACTTTCCGAGGCAAACAAGAGCATGGTGGTTTTCCAAAATACCCCCGAATACGATCCACGTCGCAATCTCATGGTCAACCTCCAAAATCAGCTCGAAGCTGCTCTCAGTACCGCCCTTGTTTCGGCAATTAACGCGCAGGATTCGAATGCATGCAAAGAGTATTTCTCGATATTCGCAATCATTCAACGGGAATCGGAGTTTCGCAACTATTATTACGCATCTCGAAGGTCCGGCATCGTTTCGTTGTGGCAGAATACCCCACTGGTCGATTGCGAGGCGTCTAACGAAGTGGCAACTCAGGGTTTCGCGGATTTCCTGCCCAAATTCTACACCAACTTCACATCCCTTCTGAACACGGAACGGACATCGATATGCGCGATCTTCCCGGACCCATCCTTCACACTGTCGCAATTCATTTCGTCGACCATGTCTTCATTACAGCCCACCATGCCGCAGCGTCTGACTTCTTATTCGTCTCATCACGGAGAACTATCCTTGACGCAATTAATCTCAGTTCTGCGAGCAACGGAGGAATTTGCAACAGGAGTCGAGAAAATTATGGAGAAGGTGCAATTTGCGACATCACCCATGCTGCCACCCAAGAGTATTTCGACCCCCTTTGACAAGCCTCAGTCACATCGGAGGCGGTCTAGCCGAATGTCCATATCTCTTCGGCCCCAGCCCGCTGCCGTGGCCTCCTCCATGAAGCCTGTCACCGACTCCCTCGACAGCATGGAGTGGGACCAGGAGGTGTTTCAACCATTCCTTGACTTTCAGGTCGATTATGGGTCCTTGGAGCGTCGTTTCTTGGAACAGTCGCTGTTGAACATCATCACAAGTGACACCCGCGAAAAGGTGCAGGCCGCGGACCGTCCCCGTCTATTCAGGGAGCGAGCGATTGACATTTTCGGAGTCGCCGAGGGCAGCATGGGCAGGTGTAAAACCTTCACGCATGGATATGGTGCTGTGGGCCTGGTCCAGGCCCTCGACGGCTTTTTTCAGTCATTTGTGGACATGTGGACTGCTGATATCCAGACGGAGCCCTACAGTTCGTCGTCTCTCGTAAAGAATTCAATATCCGACGGCGAACTCTCGGACCTGGACTATACTGCACAGGATTGGTCTGACATCCAGCTCTCTCTTCATCTTCTTGCTTCGGGAAAATCAGTATTTGACCGAATGATGACATTCGAAACCAAGTTGCGGACGTATCTATCGCAGGTCGCCTCGCAGTTCCGACTTGCCTTCAGTGACCCGTCCAATTTCTTAATCGCGGCAACGAAGGGTGAAAGCCAGTTGCTGGAACAATCAACTCTTAATTCTGCAGAATTGCATTCTTTGCTTCTCAGCATAGAAAACGAATCGAATCCCCGCGAACCTCCGTTTTCCGCGTCGCTCCGTCATCAACCTGCCGCTCCACCACCAGTGCCCGAACCTTTGCTGCTCAATGCTAGAAAGGCGCTATCCACATTTGCCCAGGCATGTCAAATGTCGACCACGAAGACCATTCTATGTCCTCTTCGCAACCATCTTGCAGGATATGCGTCTTCACCGTCCTGGAGGTCCAATGCTGATCCTGCCCTCATGACATCGAGCAATGATTTACGAGTGCCTACCTTCTCTTTGTCGCCCAGCGACACCGTCCAAAGAGTGGCCGAAGGGCTTCTAAATCTGCCACGTCTCTTCGAGGTGTATGCCGACGATGACGCACTCGCATTTTCTTTGCAGACACTTCCTTTCGTGGAGGCTGAGATGTTACAAAATCTTTCAGAACAAACGCAAGATCTACCCAACCAACAATCCCACCGACGGCGCCCTTCGAGTTACATGAAACCCAATGCGATTGATGCAGAGGTTGTTTCCTCAGCTTGGCTCGTATCTCTGGGACACACCTTCCTCGAGTATCTTACAGCTGAGATCCTTCCTGCAATACCGTCGTTATCTGTTGCGGGAGCCGCTCAGTTAAGCTCTGATCTGGAGTATTTATCAAACATCGTCCGGGCCCTCAACGTCGAGCATAGTGCCCTTGAAAGATGGAAGTCTTATGTTGGCATGGATGCTGCTGACGGGATCAAGACTTTGAACGAGAGTATTTCCGACCCAGTTGATCCTGTTTTAGAGCGTGTCGCTAAATTGTGCGGGTGGCGATAAATCAGTGGAGCTGTTTAGTTGGCCTTCGTCTTGGGAGGAGTGTGTCGGCTATGGTCGGTACGTCTTGTCCCACTCCATCACGACAGAAGGCTCATGCGTCTTTCTTTCGGGGTTGTGTATTGCCCGTCTGTCAATGTCATTTCTATGAAGTATCCAGGTGGATAGCCCCATGCAACGTGAAACCATTGCCCATGAAATTCTCTGCATGACACTGCAAACCATGGAACGCACGAAGAGCTCGGACCCGATGAAGAACTCTCGCCGCATCGCGGCAATCTGTACCTCATCGCGGCAGCACAGTACAGACTTGTAAACTGAAAGACACTAGTGTCCACTACTGTCATCACACGGGTCAGCTATTATGTTATCATCGTCTATTGCAAGGTTCACCATCCACCGTCAGTGGGAAATATCTTCAGCATACGGATGGTCTCGTGGTACTCCTCGATCCAAGGAGCTGATGTCTGTTATTGAACGCGCGCAAATGCTGAACAAGGTGTGATGCATATCCCTCACTTGCCGGTCAGACCGAAAGGGCGAGCTTTTTTCGGCGCTTGCGATTACTGGCATTCAATTGCCCGAACTCTTCGAAGTTCCCAATTTCAATATACGTCTGACAAGTTGTTGACCACAATTGACATTGGGATCACATTGGTTAGCGCGCAAGTGATGAAAAGGGTGGGTTTACGTTTCCTGTGAGCCATTCGTTTGACAAGGCCGTCCGGTCAGTGGGAAGGTAAATATCAACGTGTATTGTAATTTGGGCGCGAAGCAAGTATTCAATCCAGAAACGTACAAATAGCCTGGCAACACTCGAGACGGCATCAAGGACGTTGCGAACCTCGTTTTCATCTTGACACTTTGAGTTAATGCGGGATGGGGATACTTTCTTGTCAGTGCAGCCAATCTAGTACCTAACCCAATTCGTCTGGGCAGTGTAAAAGTGCAAATTGCCTGCTTGTCCGGAAACTTCAATCAGGAGCTCATTAGAGTACAAGGTGTCGTCATTGTTCATTCCGATTTCTTCAAACGGGTACATAGGATTTGAGCTGTGCGCACCCCTGACCTGCTGAGGAGAAATGATGGGGGCCTGAGAGGTGCTGATCATGCACTATGGACGAATTCTGACGCCGTTTGAACGCAGAAATTGCAGATGAAAACAATACCCACCAGCAAGCTAGCGCCACTGAGGCTTTTAAAGGGAAATGCGCTCTCGACGCCACAATCGCAACACTGGGTTGGGAAGCAAGGCGGGAATTCGTTGGACAATTCAGGCACAGGTACGCTGGTGTTACGTAATGTGCCGGATTGTCACTGGACCGGAATGACGGTTGACGGTTGGTTTCGGCTTAGGTCTTTCGCTTTGAGAAATAATCGTAAAAGGGGTTTCAACTCATCAACCAATCCTCATTAAAATTTAAACCTTCAACTGCCGTTGTACGGCCTGGACTGGACATTTGTTAATTGAGACCAAGCCAATCAAAATTAATGCCCTCTAGGTTCCATGAAGATTGTCAATCATCCGTTCACCTGGTTCAGAGGAGCAGGTTGATTGTACGCGTTTGCGCACTCGAGACTGACCCCCAAGACTAAAGGCGCCAAATGGGGGAAGCAGAGCGCACAAGAGTTACAGATGTTGTTGTATACTAAATAACGTTGGATAGTGGAGGATACAGATGGGTTGTCGGTGACCGCCTTGACAGATCTGTACTGTAACTCAGCGGTTCTGGGGAATCATTGACTTCAGGACCTGGTCACAAGACAAAACGTCACCGTTGTGGGCGGTTCCTGAAGAGCCCTACGCGAATGTCGGCCCTGATCGATTCGTTTGCCCGATGATCTGACCAAGTCCTTGTCGGCTGCGGGATGCTCAACCTAACTTCGTTGGGATGAGACGCCGACCGAGGCGCGGGTCCATTTGGTTCTCACTCGCAGACGGGCGACATGACATGAAATCATTTTTAATATCAGGCACGATGATATAACAGCTCACCCGTGTATAAGACCAGCTCAGATCCTGCCAGTTCTTCATCCTGCTCATCGCCTTCTAGCTCCTGTTGCCGCAGGCGTCTTTACTCACGATGAACCACAGCAAGGTACGCCAACCTCGGCCTCTGTTCGTCTAGCGCGTCGTCATTGACAAGCGCCCGTTGCAGTACCCCTCTTCTTCAGTCCACTGGAACGGCGTTTCGACACAGCAGTATCCTGCCGTCCCCGCGAGCTCCTATGGACAAAATGGATATCATTCTTCGATGCCAGTTGAACACAACCCCGCATCGTCCCAGGTGCCATCAGGCTACGACAGTCCCGACGACTACCCCATGCAATCGAGCTATTCATCGGCATACTACAGCGGGCCTCACTATCCGTCAACTGCGCAACAAACCAATCATTCGTACTCACCAGTGTCACCAACCTCTCCCCTGCTGAGTTATGCTCAAGCGCAGAGTCACCGCTCCGGTCATCACATCCCGCGGCCGCAATCCACCGCACCTCATCCCCCATATTCCCATTCCCCTTCCAGCTCTTACTCGAGCTCTTACTCTCAGTCACACCCGTCCCATTCGGTCCATCCCTCACTCGGTCGCCCGCGTTCGCACTCTCAGGCGCACGAGAGATACCCCCCAATTGCCAGCGGGATGGTATCCAGCGCCCATACACACTACACCGAAATCCCAATCCCGCAGACTATCGGCCTAACGCCCGACTATCCTTCTTCTCCCACAAAGCCATTTTCGTGCGATCTGTGTGCGCTATCATTCAATCGTCAACATGATTTGAAACGTCACCGGGAAACCCATACCGGAGAGAAACCGTTTCTCTGCAATGGAGGTTGTGGAAAAACCTTCACCAGAAAGGATGCATTGAAGCGTCACCAGGTAAAGTCTATTCCGCGTTCAGCCAAGGCAAACCTCTTACTTCCGTTCCTTAGCTCGTCAAAAATTGCGGGAAGGTCGAGGAGTCATGGTCGTAAACCCTCCTAAACTTTTGACTTGGCGTCGGTAAAAGGTCAGTCCAACCGGCTTTCGATAATTTCCATTCCTAACGGCCTTTTGTGCAGTTATCAGTGGTTATTTTATTTTTAGATGCTTTCATACATAATTCCTGTCGACAAGCACCATTAGCATATCGCACTCTTTGGTCGGCTCGTACTAGGAGTAGAACTTGGGCACTGACCATAATCATGTATAATTATTGGTGACCATTACGGAAATATCTTCTCAAGTACCCATGCATCGTGCGGAGTAATCTTCTTGTAATAATCTTTGTGAATAGTAACTTCTTTGAAATCGTGACGCTCGTAGAATCTTTTCGCGTCCTGGTTGGAGACCTGGACGTGAAGATAAATTTTATCAATCTTCGGTTTGGTGTGTTCCGCCGCGGCGGCCATGACCAATTCCAGACTTTGAGACCCTAGTTTTCTTGACCGGTATGGCTGTGAATTGGAATCCAGATTGAGACCAGACAAGGAAATCAATTTAGCAACAAGGAGCTTACCGCCAGTACGCCCATCGTCATGAGGTACAAAACATTCTGGCCGTCCTTTTTTTCCAACCGGCAGCAGATTGTTCCAACCTAGTAGTTGGAAACTAAATGATGGAACGCGAATTTCGGGTTCAGGCGACTCACGGGGATGTCATTATAATACACTGGGGTGCAAGCTTGAATGAAACCTCATGCAACTCAAGCTCTGGATCGCCCACATACCGAGCTTACAAAAGTCCTCGACCTCAGGCGAAAGTATGTCTGTGTAGAACTTCTCGCTGTATTTAATGGGAAAGAGCACCGAGTTCAGCTTGCGGACTGTGCCGAGGTTGTTAGGAGTTATGGAGGCAAAGGTAACGCGAGGAGAAGATTTCGCAGGTCCGTTCGACATACTTACGCCAGGTAGTCGTTCGGATTCCCCGATGTTGTGAAGCACCTGCAAAGTTTGTGAGCGCCCAGAATGCCGCGTCAACATGTTGGCTGTCGTCGGGCAGTAAAAATTTACACTCCGACCACCGGGGATCGGTCCCGGTAGCAAAAATCCTCCAACACTAAACCTTGACGAAAATTTACTTCCTCCTCTTGTTTCTCAGCAGGCCCGACATCCCCCTGTTTCTGTCTGCCTGTGCAAATCTTTCTTGCTTTGGTCTTATTTTTGGAGTGATTCCTGCCAGTGTGGATCCGACTACCTTTTCTGTGGTTCCTGTATCATCAATGACCGCCACTTGGTGCGCCCGTACACTGGCTTACAGATTGCAATTCGGGCTGCTCATGTGATCTTGCTCGTTCTCACCGCTGTTGCTTTATGTCGGGACGATGTCGCTAAATGGGTCTCTTTGAGTCGACCCTTTCTGCCGCGGTGCCCACAAAAGATGATGTCAAAACCTACAAGGACTACTCTGGTCAAGTTCTTTGCTTCTTGTCGCCTGGATCTTCCCGGCGGTGAAACGCAAGTAACGGTGGACTTTCTCCGGTCCAGACTTCCTTCCCGACTTTCCAAATCCAAGCAGATCCCTGTAGGCTTCACCCTCTGCACAATACACAGCGCTCATCCGTTTGTAGTACGGCGTTCACATTCAGTCAGATGAAGGCTTTTGTTTCACTCAAATTTAGCTTACAGCCTGGACTTTATCTCCTTGCATCAACGATTATCAGAGCAGCTTCATCGATTGTACAGAGTCAAATGCGTCAACAACGCATCGGATCTCATATTCCGAGCGTACTGTGGCAAAGAACCAGATGCTCGATTGTTGGCCGTTGACGTCTCGGTGTCATGCCTACCTTATGTCTTGGGCTACGAGCCTCCTTCAAAGACCCCTTTTGTGGGAAGAAAGAGCGAGCGGCATGTAATGCGTCCGTCATCTATATCATCAGTGCATTCGAAATTAGCAAGACTTTCTCGTTGCTGTCCAAGAAACTTCGCCGGCGGGGATGGTGGGATAGGGATACCCCCCCGTACTTCGTAAAGTTTCACTCTGTGTCTTCAGGTCCTTACATGGATGCATGAAACCACTTGAGTCAAAGTTCCTGTTCATTCCTATCCTCTCGGTACTCCGCCTGTCACCGACTTCTCTGTTGACACTCGGTTGCGCTGCCGTATGCATGTCAGGTCCTGAACGCGTCTTTGTCGATATACTTTAACATTTTAAAGTGATCATCGGCAAGGGTGAACAGAGTTGGCCATGATTAATTGCGACCATCTGTACCTACCCTGCCCTTCCCTATGTCGAACCGTTCCTCAGTTTCATCCGATTAACAGTGGGTGGCCTCTATGAGTCCTGTTGGCCTTCACAGTCAATGCGAGGAAACCTGTAGGTCGCTATTTCGTACAATTGATGCTCATCTCAATCATCTCACAGGGCTAACTTGGGAACTCTATCATTATGTGACCTACAGCCAGCAGGCCAATGGGGTGCTGGTTATTTTTGCACGAGTTGTATAGCCCCTTCCTCTTCTTGGGTCTGATGGTGACGACAAAGGGTAGGGCAAGCTTTCAGAGAAGCCTTGAACTGCCGTTCGTCAGATGACCCGAAGAAATCACTCAGCAATATAGGCGTGAATGTCACCGTTGCTAAACACGTCAACTAACTCTAAGTTATACCGATAGCATCGGATTCCCGCGAATAACGATCCCCAGCTGCGACATTGATTCCTTCAAACTGACCTTTCGCCGATTTTTAACCACGGCAGGTTTTATCACCGATACGTACGTATGCTCACCCCGTCGCGGAGTAGGTACGCAGCGATACAGTCAGGACTCGATATCGTCACCTGCGGAGGCAGAAGCGCTCACTCTCACCTAAAATATATTAATTCGTATCATGTTCGGTAGCACAATACAGATCCCGTATATTAATCGTTCGTTAGCGCCAAGATACTGGAACCTCAAAATTAGACGCCTGTAGCAGGGTTCATGATCACGCGTATTTGTCCGCACCTTATTTCCAGCGCTGACCAACAGTTTTAGCGCCTATATATTCGACAAGCAATCAAGGAAAGCGAGGAGGTAGAAATGCGCCTTCTATCTTTAACGATCAAAAATGAGTGGAGCGCCAGCGGTGCGTGCGCCACACTCTGATAAGTTCGAGGCAAGGCCTGACGCAAGTTCTCACGACGTTTCCTAACAGTCCCCAAGCACCACCAGGCTGAATGTGTAAGTTGTGCTGTGAGACTCAGGAAACGGCCGTTATTGCAATTTTCCCGTCGTGAGCAAACTATAGCCTGAGGTTGTGAGAAGCTTCAGCGATTTTTCTTTACAACCTGAGACACGAAGTTGCAATCTTGCGCTGCGACATCAGGTGGCCTAGCACAGGCCGTCGATATACTGATGAGAAGGTGACCGGAGGCTGAGCTGAAGATGTGGTTGCTGACAAGGACGAACGAGCTGTGCTGGTCCTGATCACTGTTACCCCATTTGGACAAGTGCCAAAGGAAGTAAAAGGTCTGGCAACGCCTCTGCCTCAACTCCGAGCTCTGCCTCTCCTCATCGCTGCTGTTACCCATGGAAGCACGGACCACCCTCCTCCAGCGCCCAATGGGCCCACGCAGCATCAACCGCTCCGCGTCGCCCCTCCCAAAGGTCGCAATCCCTACATCAGAATCGCCCGCGACCTCTCCTCGACCGTTTGGGCCACGGCCAAGCCTTACCCTTTCCCCCCCACCAACGCAACCAGAAATCCCCCGATCCGTAACACCAACTCCCCCCGCCCTCTCCCTTTCCATTCCACGTCCACCGAATTCTAAACCATCCGCGCCGAAGATCAAGCTACAGATCAATGCCTCATCCTTCCAATGGACCTCTCTTCGAAAGCTATGCCGGCGGTCCGGGAGGAGAGTTGTTGCCAACGGATTCCCATCCAGAGGAGAAGACAATTCGACCGGAATCCATGACCGTCATGCCAGCAAACCCCAAGGCCGGCGGAGTCGATAATCTTCGCGAACTGGTTACCGAACTCGAGGCAATCAGAACAGGCCTTCCCTCCTCATCGCAATCATCGCAAGCCACTCCAGTCTCCGCCGATGCATTCTCAGATACTGTCTTTGAAGAGCTGTCTCGTCTGGGAGAAGGGGCAGGCGGTGCCGTCCACAAAGTAAGACACATACCGTCTGGAATCATCATGGCCAGGAAAACAATCACCACGCTCGAGGCACCCAGGCGGCAACTCGAGCGCGAGCTCTCCATCGCGGCCTCTGCACAGCACGTCAACATCATCAAATGGCACGGAGCGTATATGACACCTTCGTCGAATGAAATCAAGATCCTGATGGAGTATTGCGAGGGTGGCAGCTTGGAGGCGGTGGGGAAACGTATCAGGGAACGTGGGGCTATCGTGGGCGAGAAGATTGCAGGCAGATTGGCCGAAGGAGTGAGTGATTCACGTCGCTTTTTTCTTTCTCCTCATGTCATGGGATGAGCTAGGTTCTACAAGGCCTTGCATACCTCCACAGCAAGAAAACCATCCATCGCGATATCAAGCCATCCAATATACTCCTATCGAGGGAAGGTGTCGTGAAACTATGTGACTTCGGTGTGTCTGGCGAACTCGTCAACTCACTTGCTGGCACGTTCACGGGGACGAGTTTCTATATGGCGGTATGTCTGATTCATTTTTCTATGGTCAATCTATCTGAAATCCTCGACAGCCTGAAAGAATTTGTGGCCATGAATACACCATCCGCTCGGATGTCTGGTCTACGGGCATTTCCCTCCTCGAACTCGCGCAAAACCGTTTCCCCTTCCCCAGCGATCTGCCACCCATCGAGTTGATGATGTACATCACGACCGGAGAGGTTCGTCATGACTTTCAGCAAAAATAAATTCAGCGCTGATCATTCCACAGCCCCCGAGATTAGAAGATGAGCCTGGCGTTCAATGGTCTGATGAGATGAAAGATTTCATCAAGCAAACGTGAGCATTACCTTAATGATTGTCCTTGAGCTTTAAAGACCCCGTTCACAGATTGATTGTGGATGCTGCGACACGTCCGACACCCAGAGAGATGCTCGAACATCCCTGGATCATCACCTCCATGAAACAAGAAGTTCATATGGCTCGCTGGATCCGCCAAGTCTGGGGATGGCCGAAGGCACCCCGCCGTCGAGATGAGTATGTCAATTCTCATTAACTTGTCAAGCCTCTGTCTCATCCAGGAGCAGGAGCGCCTCCAGGCCGGGCACAGCTCATGGCGAATAAAACCAAGGACTATCACTAATCGATCTTCCCTCGGACTCTGCTTTCATCTTTACCCATTTCCTGCTTGCATCCCATCTTCGGACTCGAGATCAAAAGACCTTACCTTCTACAATACCTCTTGCCAAAACTACATCGTACTGACATCTGCTTTCATCAGTGTATTGCTTCCATCTGTAGAACACGAAACCCCTCGGTAATGCCTACCTTCTTGCTTGGGTTCTACGTTCCTGAGCGCGTCCGTATACCTCTACATTGATAAGAGTTTAGGCGTCGTTTATAATAGGATCTCGCTTGCAATTCGTTTATGGGCCCCGCAAAGCTGTATGTTCCTGATCCTCGAGCACACTTCTTTCCGCGAAGCTTGAAGCTTAAATTCATCAGATCGACGCCGATCGTGGTATCTCGTGGTATTCACGCGTCGTTTAGATTCCTGACTACAAGCGAGATAGTTGACTGAACCCATTCATCATACGCCACAGTGATTTATGATATCATCCCAGAATGCGAGGTCGAGGCGGGGTTGTAAACGCGTAACTTGCCGTAGGGGAGTTACCGAGAAACCAGCGACGGCGGCTTTAAGACGATGAAAACGGCGTTTAAACGATGGCCCACCTACAACGCATGGACACCACGAGGATGTCAGCGTTTATTCCACGGAAAATCGGCCCACCTTAGGCCGCCTTGCGGTGTGATAAACGGATTCTCCGCCATGGCTGATTCTGGGGAACACCGGCCAACAGGCAAAAAAATCAATCCTTTCTCAGCAGTACCCGTCCGTCGCGGTAATCGCACGCACTGTTTTGACGTCGTTGAAAGAATGAATGAAATGCTGAGGGCTGATATGGATGGAGACCCCTGTTTCTGGGAAATTGTATACGTGCCCACAACATACCGCAGTTGAGAGCTGATTTTTTCCCTGGTTATATTTAGGCTGCGAGTGTGGGAGTCCAGAGGGGGACGGTGACGGCAGCTATACTCGAGTACATCTCGGGGACAATAATTTTAACTCATCCACCTATGACCGGATGCCCACCATGACATACATCGAAGACGAAACACTACATGACTGCGGGACCCTGCAAGAAAAGCCTTATTCATAGGGACTACCTTCATAGCAAAGAAGGAACCCTTGCGATTAGGTACTTTTACACGATGCAGTTGCATGGTCTTGCTTTAACTGATAGAGAAGAAATGACGAGAAAGGTCGTGTACGTCTAGCCATGCCGCGTTGTGGTGTTCACGAGCCTTTTTATACGATTTACATACGGACAACGCGCGGTCTGTCGACGAAGAATCGATCGCGGAGGGTCCCTTCGCGATGTCGACCACGGTTTCGTCTCCTGCCTAGCGTATTCAGTGCTCAGTCGCCTAGTTGCTTCAGTGAGGGCCTTTTTTCATTCACGTCATTGTTTTGATAACGCTCGGAAGGGGGAGTTCGCCGCCTTCTAATCTTCCAGCCCTGCAGAAGTCTCCAAACGCCCTTTACTTCTGATCTCCGAGCGCGCCTTTGTGAAGCAGCCGGTTTTGTTAAGAAGGAAATGGAATAATGGTATAGGTGCTGCCTAACGAAATGGCCCTGTTCTTAGAGGAGCTAAGCAGCTTCTAGGCCATGGCCATTGCCATGCGTTTCTACTACAATGTCCTTTTATTCCGAATGATGATTTTCTCCTATCCTAGGCGGCCGGGCCCGCACGCGCCGTAGGGTGCCACTCCCAAATTGACGTGAAATTTATGTTCCAGAAACATGCCCCAAAAGCCAGTCAATGGAATGTTTCGACCTAAAGAAAAATTAAGACAGAAAACATAGTTTTGACCGTGGAGGTTAGATAAGGTATATCCTCGGGTACGAGCAAGAACTTTGGTGGAAGTCGCGGCGTCTTGATCCTTCAGCAATTGGTATATCCTCGGTATGACAAGGTTTGCTGTAAGTCGGCGATACAAAATTACGGAGTGACGTCTGGTTTGGACAGATGGTGGAAATACACCTGCGCAGAGTGGGGCAAAACTTAGAATCAAACACCTAGAAAAAAGCCAGAATCTGTTTCTTCTAGGCCCACGTGTACGACTTCCATTGCACACTCGTTCTGCGCCGTGGATGATTTCCACATGCAGACACATTGTGAGAAAAAAGGCATTCTGATGCATCTGAGGATGACATATGGGTGCGCAGAAGATCAATTTTAGGTCTGTATGACCTGTTGATTCCACGGAGGAGAGTACCGTGCCTGTTGCGTTCTCGACGACCGCGGCGGTGGAGATAGAGGACAGAGACAGTTGAGCGGCGTAAGATCTTTAGCAGGGCCATGGCCGTTGTCTATTATTTTCTACAGGACATTGACGATGGACCGGCTGGCAGCGTGAGCAGCAGACCAGCGAGCACGCAGTGCTTCCATCTCCCGTGATCGGAACAGTTCGGCATATAGGCTGCTCACCCAAATGCGGCAGCATCATCATGCGAACATCAAAACATTATCAAAATCGTCTTTGGACATGATCTATTCTAAGGCTTCCTTGACTTTTTTCGCCCTTTTTGTCTCCTTTTGCTGCGCTATCCGAGCCAGGTCATCAATATTCCTGCAGATCTGCACTTCCTTTGTTAAGCACCTGCCTGTCCCTTTGCTCTCTGTCAGCTTTCTTTCAACGGACGGAGGAAACGTTTTAGAGTGTACCTGGAAAAAGATGCCAGGCGCGTTTTTTGTGCCCAGGAGACAAATAAAGTCCCCACACATGGAAGTATTTCGAACTCCTAGGATATGGAGCCGTTTACCACTGCCAGACGACCCTAGATCAGCTTAGATCTGATGGTTCGGTGATCCACACCGATGGGGACCGCTGAACTGGCGCGGAATAGCATGGCGTTCTTGCCTTTATAAACTCCTACGCGAGCTCTCAAACCCAATTATCTATCCCGCTTTCTTGGTCGACTGCTATGACGAACAACATGTCCTAGTGCGTCCCGTTGGCGCCATCCTTTGATTTTATACTAACTCTACTGTCAGTTCCTCTGGCCAATACCTCCCTCCTCCTCCCCAATACTACCACCAGAGCCCGACGCTCAGCAACCCCGTGCACATCGTTCCGCCCCCACCGTCGCGCCCCGAAGTTGCCCAGCGCAAGCGCCCCAAGTACACCAGGAGTAAGACGGGTTGCCTGACATGTCGTGTCAAGAAGATCAAGGTGTGTTATACCGTCTCCTCTCCAGTCACTGGCGTTGGTTGCGCCTGAACATCGTGCTCACGCTGTTGCTACAGTGCGATGAAACCAAGCCGAGCTGCATGCGTTGCACGCATGGCTCAAGAGACGTACGTCCGGTCGTTTGTTTCAATTTCGTGACGGTCTCTCATGATCTATCACATTCTAGTGCACATGGCCAGAAGGTGTCCCCACTCGCAAGAAGAGTGCAGCCAGAAAGGATTCTCTTGATGAACGGCCTTCGACGGCAGGATCATCAGGTTTGTCAGAGGCCTCGACGCCACCCACTCGCGAGCATACACCACCCCGGAGACATCAGTCGGAGCTCAACCTAGTGCCCCTTCCGTCCCGGTCTTCGAGGTATGTTTCGATTCCTATCAATCCATTCATAGTCAGTAATCACCGTCTATTAGTGACTCCTTCGTTGGGATGGATTCCGTGGCCTCCGAGCATGATTCTGGCCGTCGTCCTATGTGAGTTCCAAGGCATTCTGTACGGCCATTCACCTATCGTTCTTCCAGTGAGCGTGCATCCAGCTACTCCCACTCCCACCCTTCCTCCAACACGCTTTCCATGATCCCCGAGAGTGCATACTCCCCCCGCTACGACTACCTCGGAAGTGGCGCAAACCAGTCCTCCCGCCACAACATGTCTGCCCCCTACCGTCCTCTTTCCTATCAACCACCGAGCCATTGGAGCGCCCCTCCAGAACCATTGGACCCTTACGTGAGTGATGTTCTCAATGACCTCACCCCTCGCCCGTACTAACGGTTCGATAGTACCACGGTCATTACAACAGTGGAATCCAGGACAGACCACTGGTGGGGCACAACTCCCCAAACGACCACTCACACAATAGATACCAATAAGCACTTAGCTTTCTGCGCTCCCTTTCTATCGGCCTAATTACACCTCACTCAATTAGCGCCTAGTGCTCTGGCGCAGGGTTTATCATGTGGCTCTCGGTGTTGGGAGAAACGTGGTTCATCATCATCCCTGTTCGTAGAATGCCGGTGAAGAGGGCACTTCCGTTGTACATACACTTGTAACTTAACATTACCTTGATCACTCGATACAATTCTAATTATGCAGAGGTGTCTACGCATTTTTATAGACCCGTCTTCGTTGGTGTTGCGTCTGTTGGGAGGCAAAGACTCGGCGAAGATCTCGTAGATCTTGCCTCGAAGCCTGAATCTTCGGCCAAAAGGTCCGTCATCATCAGGGGTATATGTTGAACACAGTTTCACGGAGGTTCGTCACGCGAACGCGAATGCCAAGGAATTGGATCGTGAGAGACACGAGTACTACTTTCCTTTTCTTCTAAAGTCTGATTGAAGCTCCTTTCGAGAACAGGAAACTCAAGGACAGGAAATGCCAATTTATTTGAATCACAGCTATTTGCCGAGGTTTCGGCCGCCGATGTGGCGTACGACCCCGGGCCGCGAGCCGGAACCACCAGGGGACACTTAATTCCTTCCTAGCGGCCCAACCAGAGCTGGCACCTCGTACACCAAATGGTTGTTCTGCTTCGTTTCCTCGCTCACGCGTTGACAAGACAGACGGAAGGAAGATCACCCATTAAACCCGCGATTACGACCCCTCACTTCCACTTTCATCTCGGAGATGATCCCATAACAGGCAGCTTTGGCTCACGTCGGCGCGGTTGAAGATCAACGCAGTTACGTTTGGATGTACTAACACACATATGACCTTTTTGTACTCCAAAAGGACTCGGAAATATGAATAGATGCTACGTTTCTCTAGGGTTTTTTTTACGTGTAGAGAGACGGCACATCATACCCCAGCTGCAGGGGCGAACCCTAGACGCCTCCTACCGACATCCCAAATGCTATAGTAATGCTTCAGAAGGCTGCCCCCCACCAGTTCTAGACCATCAAAAGCATTGATTAGGGTTTGACAGAGGCTGGAGTCGCTGGCGAAGGGTCCGACGCTGAGCTCGCTGCTTGGAATGCTCAGGTTGAACGGCGCGCCGGTCTGCGAAGTGAACGTGATATCGATCATCGCGGGAAGAGAGGGAATACGGTCACAGGCGATTCCGTATGTCCCTGGTTCGTTGGGGTTCGGTTTGATATCTGGGGAAATTAGAGCATAGATAGCCTACAATCAGAAGAACTGTTTAGAAATCCTCGAAAAAGGAGCGAAATATTCGCATTCAATGGGCTGACATTCGCAGTGTTGGTGGAGAACAATATGTTACTTGTTCCGCTGTCGAAGATGATTGTCCGAGACGTATGAAGAAGCGAGGTCGTCTTTCCGTTAACGGAAATTCCGGGAGATGCAAGTTGCCATGTACTTCCCGTCCCAGAAGGAAGAGACACAAAAATAGGACTGCCTGTCAAGACAAATGTCTAAGATCAGTCGGTCGTCTATGAGTGAAGATCTGCGTGGCTGTCCCCACCTATGAATTTAGCGCTGTCCACCCCTCCGAGCGTCAACTCTGCGTTTCCGACAGTCTTCGGGGCGAGATACATGCCAAACAACGCTGTGCTCGGCAAACATAAGAAGCGCGCTTAACGAGGCCGGAACGGCTATTGCCTACAGGGTAATCCTTGGCCAATAAGTCCAGCGAAGATTCCTTGTGCAGTCGCGCCCATTCCTACAAGGCCACATGTCAGTGTCAGGTCGCTCCCGCGATGTCGCATTTTCATGAATGGCGTAGACTCGCCTTGAATGCCACTGAATGGGTCTATGCTAAACTTCGCTGTCTGGTTGGTAATCAAGAAGAGTGGAACCTTCGTCGCCGATAGCCCGCCGAAAGCAACAGTATCTGTCGCGCTGCGGAGCGTCAGCCGATAGTTGGCACCCACAACGGGATCGACGCCGACTCCAGTCGCAAATGTGATAGAGGAAGTTCTTCCGCCATCAACGAAGGTCGAACTCTTCGACGGATCGAACTGGACTTGGTTCGCACAAGGTTGGCCGCATAAAGTACCTTGAAAGAAGCCGAAATTTAAACTTTAGGGGAAAATCTTGCCATGAGTTCACGAACTTACTTGCGAATTCCAAGGTGGAACTTCCAGTGTCAAAAACTACCTATAAACATACTGTGGTCAGGATGTGCGCCATGTCACGATGTCGAAGCACGCACGGGTGAGAACTTGCGGGGGTGATCCAACTGTTGGTGGTGAGGTCAGGACTCAGGATCAGCAGTCCGTCAAAAGGAGGTTCCTATTCACTGGAAAGATTGCCAAACCACCTGCGCATCATACGTCGAATGAATTGAAAGTTAAAACTTTGAGTGCTCGACCACTGGAGATCAGTCCCAAGGAAAAAGTCGGCCAAAGGTTCTGAGGTCGGTGGCAGAGCTCGACGTCTCTTCGCCATGTTGTATGGGGTGGCGCGTGATTGAAGCGTTATCGTCTGTGGCGTTGCCTGAGCTATCGCCTCGGAAGCCTGGCTGCTCAGCCAGAGAAGCAGAGGAACCACTAGAAACATGCTAAGAGCCATGAGCAGACTGGTTAGCCAGAGACATCCAGGCCACTTTATAGCTGTGGACGGTGCTTGCAGGGACTTATTTAAATCAGCACACATGCGGTCTGAGAAGGCGAGGCGGACATTCGCAGTCAGCCAGTTACCGTCGCGGTAAGCTGGGGCACGCGGTGTCTGGCCATGCAACTGTGGCCATACAGTGTATCACAATGAATGACTCCCATAGTGTCGTCGCAGGTTTATTCTTAGCTCAGAGAAGACGTAAATCCAGCGTGCACAGACGTTATTTTTGGACGAAACCCCGAATCAGCATTGTCATTTCCCTGATGATTTATTGAGAGAAGGTGCTCCATGCATGATTCACAGACAGGAAACATAGAAGAATCAGTGAGGGCGGAGAAAAAAAGAAGATAAGACCGAGGCGAGGGACGAGTAAACGAGATTAGGGATGATCAAAAACCGGTAACAGTGTTCGCCAGAATGTCGATGTGCACACAGTTATTCGGCGCAGAAGAAGATTTTGAGGTTCTTTCATCCCTTCCAATGACAGACTGATAGAGTTTGAGTCATCGGGGCAGGTCAACGCTGATTACTTAGTTCCACGGCCTTATGCAACAGAGCGAGCAGCCGCAGCTAGAGTCAGGAGAAGTGTAGTAGTACCGGATGGTTACGCAGGGAGCTGGTGACCGTGGGTTCGAGGTCGTAGACGCGTCGAGGAAGCCCAAATTGAAAGTGGGAAACGCGTCTGCCGATGATGCATGATGCCCTGATGATGACGGTACAGGAACAAGTCATGTTGTGGCTGTGCGATTAGATTAGCCGAAGGAACACCGCTTATCTCGTCCGAGTCGAGACTCCATCCAGTACTTACACTCATACCAAGCCTACCCCACATCTGCAGACTATCTTGCATCGTACCACAACTATGGGTAAGAACACTTGACTTGAGTCCCGCAAAGCCTGACGCCCATCCAAAACAGCCTCTTCCGAGCAGCTCAACTTCAACCCACCGCACCGCCCTCAGGAGAATGCTATCGAGGCCTTCAACCTCCTCCTCCCCACCCTCAAGTCAGAGATTGTCAAATCTCGCAGACACTGGGACGCCCATGAGCCACGCATGTGGTCCCGCGCGGCCGGCCTGTCCGACCAGGAGCTCGTCGCTTTCAAGATCGCCGAGGATCTCGTCGAGGTGCATTTCGTCTTTCCCAGGTGGAGCCGCCGATGAACTGAGTGAGGGAATGTCGATTCATAGGTCAGGAGCGCTGCGACGTCGTATGGCACGATCATCCTTGGGAAGATTAGGCTTCCGGGTGTGAAGGACGAGGAGGGAGAGGGATTCGTTCATGTTAGGTGAGCGCATTAGTTTGAAGTCTGAGACTCGAGTAGGTAGCTAAGGGCCCACCTAATAGGATCCACGACCCTCCCAACAGGGTACGTACATATGACCCTCCTCCTTTCCTTCTCCTTTCCCGAGCTGACGGACCACCAGGGTACCGAGGACATCCGTTTCCACTCCCTATTCACCGATGAGATCAGGAAGGACCCAGATGAACCCCCTGTCGACTTCCGCGCCATCCAGGTCGCCAGCAAGCCACTCCAATTCTTCAACGAGTAAATCTATAGCACAAAGGATGCAATTATATGTATCTACAAGGCAAACCGCTCTATGTACTCTAAATCTACAAATCTACGGAAATGGTATACGTAACAGACCTGGTACGTCCGGGAGGCAGTCCGTCCATCCATCATGTACATGTGTCTCCATCAACGCAGGCATCGGGAATAGGGTGGGGTATATCTACTATTTACGAGGGGCAAAAGATATATTTTCTAGCAGAGAGGTAGGGCTTATACATATTTTTACAAACAAAAAAACCGATAAGCATGTGTTTGGTACAGTGCATAGACTATGAGAACCCGCATAATTGGATGAATGCCAAAATTCGAGGAGGTAGGTGGTAAGTATGGGGGAGGAGCACAAGGAACAGCGACAAGCGACAAAGCTACGTAACCAAAGCAGGTGCGACAGCGTCAAACCAAGTGTCCGACGCGTGCAACCCACCTCGGAGTAGGAAGGGATGTGCATGAAGGATCCTGCAAGACACCCATGAGTGGCAAGCATCGACAAAGAAGGAAGAGTATGGTGGAGGTGAATTTAGGTAAGAAGCAGGCATATGGGTAGGTATGTATCGCAGTCGCAATGAATCAAACACATGTTTAGCTTTGTATGGAAAAAAGTTCGAAGAGAGGAAAAGAAAAAAGACGAGAGGAGTCCAAACGGAAATGCATCCTCGGGGGTTACAACTATAATATAGAAGGGGAATGAAAAGAGGAGAAGCAACAGAGCTGAGAGAAGACAAGAATATCTGTAGACAGGACCACGAACACAACTGAGCAAGCAACATAAATGTGGGCAATACGAGAAAGCAAAGTGCAGACCCAAGCAGAGCGAGAGAGCGGCGTCGATGAAGAGAAGCCAGGTATGAACCCAGCCTGGAAACCCGCCACCAAAACCCGAGCCCGAGCCCAAGTCCCAACGCACACCCCACATCCAAGTACAGCCAGCCAGCGCTAGTGCACCCCAGTCGGCTCAATCGCAATCCCACTATCTGCGTGCCACAGATAATGGCCCATCCGTGACGAGCCAAACGGGGGCACCGCCTCCGCGTCTGTCACAACAGTGATCATCGGGTCGCCCACGCCTTCTGCTGCCCTCCGAGCCGCCATGGCCAGATCGAAGGCGACCCCACTCGCAGCGCGAGAAAGGTACGCCTTCTGCTTGGCCTTGTGGTTCCGGTGGGCGACGACGAAGGGCAGCGGTGTCGTCATTGGTGTAGGCGACGCTGTTCGAACACTTGGAGCTCCGAGGAGTCCGTAATGCTGTTCGGGTGCCAATGTCGACGATGAGCAGGATGAAGAGGTGGCGGAGGCGGCGAGGGTGACATCGAGCCATGATTGCGATGATGGGCATGCGGGGAAGGTGCCGTCCTCGAACGAGGTCATCTGGACTGTACGATCGCCCGCAGAGTCGGTGGACGAGGGTGAATATGTGAGCAATGGGGTGTCCGGGCTAGGTGTGCTGGTCTTCTGCGACGAGAGTTCCGACCACGGAGTTGACTAAGTACCGGACGGGGCAGCAGAAGGGCAGTCAGAATCTGCCTGGTTGTGCAAAACGGAGGAAACCTAAAGAAGGGACTTGCCTGGAGATCTTGCTTGCGGGCGTCAAAGACGTCAACATCGTCGACGATATCCATATCATTAGACCCGATCTGATACGCAGAGAGGCTTGTAGCAGAGGTGCTGGCATCACAGTAGACGCCGCTGTCGAGTGCTGGAGCCACAGCCGAACTCGTCGGAGCCTGACAAGATGCAGCAAAAGCGAAGGCGTCCGCGGGGAGCGTCGTGCTCTTCCGAAGCCTCTTGTTGCTGGCGCCGCCTAGCGGCGTTGGGACTGGTACCGGAACTGACGTTGGGGCGGATAAGGGGTCTTGCTGCTGCTGCGCCACTGGCGCTGGGGCGATAGGCTCTTGCGGTACCAGGAACGGAGTCCGGCTCGCCAACGGCGATCCAATCGAGAGTGAGCTCTCACTCTGCGTTCGGATAACCGTGCGAATGGGGGGTGTCGAGGTGGGAGTGACGGAAGCCGACGCGACCTTGCCCACCCACAGGCGCCAATCCAGGGCCTGTCCAAGGGCACGTTCGCATCGGCCAATCTCACGAGGGGGCAAGCCGGATAACTTCGCCCACGCACGGTTTGAATAGCATTTATCTTGAGAAAACTTGGAAGCAAGGATAAGTGAAGCTAGAAAAGCCCGGCGGGGGCACAACAGCGGGGAGGGAAGCGTTGATGATGGACCCTCGGCGATGGAAGGCTCCACGATAAGACTTGAGGATGTGGATTGAATATCCACATCGAGCGTAGCATCTTGCTCATCTTGGTCTTGATCCATAACTCGGACGGTCTTCATGCATTCGTCGGAGCACACGACGGCACCAGAGGCCTCTTCGAGAGAAGCGAACTCAGCCTCACGAGCCAGTTCTGCCTCGGTTGCCGGGAGGATCCTGGTTTCCGGTTGGAACAAATTCCTGATTCCCTGTTTCTCATCGCGGAGAATCTCTGCTATCTTGGGGCGTATAGCCTCAAGATAGCAGAGAGCGGTCTGCAACACGCTGCCTGACGTGCGCGATCGCTTCAGCACCTCGTGCACGAAAGACCTGAGGGGCAGAAGATCGGACTCGGAGTCGGATGCGACGAGAACTTGCGGTGGACGTTGGGACGGGACGGGTGTGGGTGCTGGTGGCGGTGCTGGCTGTGTTGATGGGGAATCGGGTGACGATGGGTGCGTCGATTTAGCGAGGGGTTGTTGCTGTACATTGCTGGAAATAGATGTCGAATGGGAGGTTGGGATAGCTGCGCCCTTCTGGGGGGCGAGGAAAACGCGAGGGATGTCATGTGGGCGCCATAGGTCAGACAGGGTCTTTACAGCTTGATCTGCCGGCGCCAAATTGAATGAATGGTGAATTATCGATCACGGGCGCTAGAAGAAAGAACGACGAACCAATTAGACCAACTGCAAATTTATACTTGCTGCCATCGCGCTGTACGGAGTCCTTCGGGGTTTGGGCGGCTGAAGATGGGGGGTTGGTCGGTTGGGATTGACGGGGTCTCGGGGGATCGCTTGTTGCATTGACAGTTGGTCGGGGTGATGCTACAGAATAATTGAGGAAGAAGGAGGAGGGGGATCTGGAGAGAGTTGTTGCTGGGGTGGAAGTGTAGGGTTGCCAACGTGTTTTGGCGCGAGTGGCGGGTTGGGTCCGCTGGGTTATCATTGTAGCCGAGTGCATGATTTTGAAAAGAAGTATATGAGAGGAGGTGCAGAGAAAAGCAGAGAGTTGGGGTTATCAGGAAGCAGGCAGTAATTCAGTTGGAAGTAGAGTGCGCATTAAAGGAAATTGAAGTAGAACTGGAGGCAGAGACAGAGACTGGGGAGTTGGAAAGGATGACGAGAAGTGCGGCGCTCTTTGAGGGAGCAAATCGGGCTATGGAGAAGGAATACATTGCGAAGGGTTGGGTTATAGGAGGATGTCCAGAGTCAGCGACTAAGGACGATCCTTGCACAGGGTCTGTCTGGGCGGCAGAAGACTCTGTGTGAAGAGCGGTGGACGGGACTAGATTCGGCGAGAGGAGGCTTTGACGGACGGGGCGGGGACTGCTTTATAGTACGGGCGGCGAGTTGGATGGGTGAGTCTGGAGATGGGGCGGGGAGTCAGGCTGTCTCTTCTAGCCCTAACACGTCACAACAACACCCTCCACAATGACTCGACACCACGCGGCTCTCATCGTCACACACCGCCCGTCACAGAAATACACAGCCCCCAATGACTCTGCCTCCATACCACATTTTTCGATAGCTCCGTTCTCAAACCTTCTCCTCCGAATCACCTTCCTTCCTGCAATTTTCTGTTCGCATATACCGATTTTCTGCTTGTCCCTGTTTCCTTGTCCTTCGGAGTAATCACCTTCCTTCTTAATAATAGTTCTCCCTGTATATAACCTTCGCGTCGGCTGGGACACTATCTCGTCCACAGATCAAGTAAAGTTCTGCTCTACATCCCCTCCGTGCCCGCTGTCCACCACGAAAATGGGCTTGGTGTTGTCGGAGTTTCATCCCATGCCAACGTTTCAATGGCCAAGGCACCTTTTCTGGACGCGGCGATCTAGTGCCATGCTTTATATTTCAACATTTCTTGCCTCCATCATCTTTCTCTCTCCCCACACTCACGATCTCTCTACCGACGACGCTCGTTCCCTAACCTATAATGAGGTTGCTAACCTCGACTTTCGCTCTCTTATTATCTCTCGTTGTCGTGAACGCCGCTTCCCTCCACGACAATGCTAACATCGCTGCCCGCCATGCCCATCTCTCCAAACGTGTAACTAGTCTCGAGATGAGGGCATCCAACTCGACCTCCAGGCGCTGCAAGAAGAACCGCAACACCAACAAGGCTTCTACTGTGAGTGCATTTCGTCTACCCTACTCGACTCATCTAATCGCTGTTCAAGCCCGCCGCGAATAATCTTGTTGGCGACAAGGCTACTTCCTCCGCCCCTCCTCCTGCGAAGACCTCTGCTGCCCCTGCCAAAAATAATAACAACAACGGCGGTACTTCCAAGCCGGTCAACGCTGCCGGCCTCATTAACGTTCAGAGCAACTGTGGTTCCAGCCGTGCTACCAGTTCGTCCATCAAAACCTCCGTCCGTCCTCCTGATTCTGATCACCCCCCGCAGAGGAGGTGACCAAGTTTTCTGGCCCTAATGGCCACATCGATTGGCTGAACTGCGGCTTCGAGACCGACGGCGGATGGCAGCCCCCTTTCGTTCGCGTGCAGGACATCATCACGCAGCCTTTGTCGACTGCTCTTCAGAACCCCTCGAGCCCGTTCAAGGCATGCGCACGCTTCATATGGATGTTCGAGAAGTATGGCGGCGAGTACGGCATTCCCGCGATCATGCTTGCGTCCTTCGCGATGCAGGAGAGCTCGTGCAACCCCGAGACCGTTGGCGGAGGAGGCGAGCAGGGCCTGATGCAGATTACCCGAGAGAAGTGCGGCGGCGCCCCAGGCGGAAACTGCAGGGATCCCGTACGTATTTTTCCAACTCGACTTCTTCCCGGCGCTTGGTAGCCGCATGGTTTCTTGCTTCCCCGTGCTAAGCCTACCCCTCTCCTGCTGTCTAGGAATTCAACATCCGCACTGCGACTAGATTCTTCTCTGATACCCTGAAGAACAACGGCGGCAACGTGCTCTTGAGCGCTGGAGCTTACAATGGCTGGCACCGTGGTTTGACTAGGGTGAGCCCCACAGTTTCCAACATTGGCGCCAAGAGGCTGACTTGGCGACGGTTCTAGTGGAAGGCGTTCGCTGCTGCTAACTCGGCTTGCTGCCGCTGCCAGAACAACGGCGACTAGTAAGCATCCCCTTCATTCCGCTAATTGACTGATCTTCTTATCGACCTCCTTTTCCCCTCAGCCTCCACCAATTCTTCAATGGCTGGTGCCAGAACATCAACGCCTACGACCACAGACTGCGCCTCGGCAAGTACTTCAACCTGGATGTCTGCGGCTGACCGTCTTTTAATGACGTCCACTGCCACAATGCCCTAATGCATGTACGGAAGCATCCCCATTAATTATCGCCTCCCCTTACCTTCCATTCTTGCCGAATGGCTCACTACGTCTATTTTACTAGTACTGACACAGTGCATTTGTCCCGCCTGGCGCGATGACTGTGACTAATATACCCTCTTCCGAACGCTAGTTCGTTAGTTTCTTGGTTGCGGTATGAATGCTCTGCGCAAGCAACGCTTGACGCCTTGTCGTGAGCATTTATGATCGGAGCGCTGCTGTCTTATACCCTTCATGCTGGACGTCATTTTTTCTTTCAATTCGAGGACACAAAAGGACTTTCAAGCAAACTTATTTATGTACTTGGGGGAATTTTATCACAAGTTGGACATCGTGTGCTCGATCCCTTGTTAACGAAATGGAAACGCAATGTGATTGGCCAGCGAGCGTGGAAGCCGGGGCGGAAAAAGAGATTGGACGCGCCGGTCGCACGTTAGACGACATCCAATGAGTGCCAGTGACCAATCGACGACATCATCTCCCTCTTTGGCAGCCGCCTCGACCCCGCTCTCCTCCGTGCCCCCGTCGCCCGAGCTGGGCAAGCTCCATCTCGACGTCGAGGTCACCGAAGCGGACAAGCAGGAAGCCGCGCGCTTGAAGGCGCAGGCGAACAAGGCATTCACTTGTCAGTTGATCTAATCAGATTTTTGGAGACCGATTTGCTCAACCTACTTTACTTCCCCTTCCCCTTGCCTTCGGTCTGGATGTGAATAGCTCATGACTTTAACGCGGCCGCGAACCTCTACTCCGACGCAATTGAGAAGAATCCGAACGACTCGACACTCTGGTGCAATCGCGCATATACGCGGATCAAGCTCGAGGAGTATGGCTACGCCCTCTCCGACGCTACCCGTGCCATAGAACTCGATCCTAGATATGTGAAGGCGTACTATAGGTATTTTCATCCACTTCTAAGTATCTCTGGCGTCTTGTTAACCCCTCCTCGTCCTATCATCTGACTTACTTCCTGTCAGACGGGCAACATGCCACATGCAGATCTTGAAGCCCCAGTCGGCCGTCGCGGACTTCAAGAAGATCCTGGCGATAGAGCCTAACAATGAGACGGTGCGGTCGCAGATGGTGTCAACGCAAAAGTTGATACGCAAGATCGAGTTCGAAAAAGTGCGCATCATAAACTCCCCTTTTGTTGGATGTTGCCCTGATGCGGAATTTCTAGGCTATCGAGGTCGAAGGAGAGAAGAACCCCGTGGACAGGTGTAGGGAGATCATCGTGGAAGGCATGTTGCAGTTTTATTACCTGACCGGCACGCATCTAATACGACTCATGAATAGGTGGGTGTGAAATTGACGCGACATACGCCGGCCCGAAGCTCCCACAGGAAAACGGGAAATACTACATGACGGCAGAGTTCATCCAGGAGATGATCCAATGGTTCAAAGAAGGCAAGACGCTGCATAAGCGGTACGCATGGGAGATCGTCATGGGTGCATACGACCACTTCGTCAAAGAGGAGAGCCTGGTAAACGTTGACATACCAGAGGGTGTATCCGTTGACGTTATTGGTGATGTTCACGGTGCGTTCTTTTCTTCTGTTTTGTTACGTGGTTGAATCCGCACTTTTTCATTTCATTTTAATCTCATCTTTTATCTTTCTCCGGGCAGGGCAATTCTACGACGTGTTGCATCTGTTCTCGTTGACGGGACCGCCGACAGAGAAACATTACCTGCTGATGAACGGAGATCTCGTTGATCGCGGTTCGTGGTCCATCGAAGTCATCCTTCTTGCCTTCGCCTACAAGTGTGAGTCAGACTTCTCAGGTCTCTTTTTGGCTTGACTAACAGGACTTTTTTAAGGGCTATACCCGAAATACATGTACCTCAACCGTGGCAACCACGAGGCAAAGGATATGAATCGGACATATGGGTTTGAGGGGGAGGCGAAACATAAGCATGGAGAGCAAGCTTACAAGGTGCGCTATTTTTTCCCTCGGCGTCTAGGATGGAGTTCTTACTGTGCAGTAGCTTTTTGCTCATGTATTCACGACAAGTCAGTCCAATAATTCTGCTTGTCATCGAGTAGTCGCTGACAGTCGCCTTCAATTCAGTGCCATTGGCGACGCTACTGCATGCCACCAAGCCTCCATCACCCAAGGATCCCATATGCATCCTTTCTCCAGAAGGACGGCGCCGCTTCTTTGTTGTGCATGGCGGCTTGTTCAGCAAAGACGGCGTCACGCTAGATGAGATCCGGAAAATTGATAGGATTGGGAGGCAGCCCGGTCAGGAGGGTCTAATGTGTGAGTCACCTTGCAGCACAATTAACTGTGGATGGTGTTGACGTACCCATGCACTATTACAGGCGAGGTAAGATGCGATTCGGGAGTGGACTGTCCGTCCGATTGCTGACGGACACTGCGCAGCTGCTGTGGACTGATCCACAACAAGCGCCTGGTCGTGGTCCTAGTAAACGGGTATGCATATTTTTTGTGACTAAGATCAGTGCTTTTTAGTTCATTTTCTTGGCTTAGGGTGTTGGCATTGCCTTTGGGCCTGATGTAACGCAACGATGGTGCACTCTGAATGGCGTTACAGGTATCATCCGCAGTCATGAAGTTCGACAGAGTGAGTGCACGTCTTATCGTCACGGCCTCTTCTGTTCGGTGCTGACCACCCGTTCGTGTTTATTCAGACGGCTACGAAATAGAGCACGATGGACTGTGCACGACTGTATGCAGATCATCTTCTAAACATTTGTGTAGTTGACTCATATGTTCCGAAACTCAAGGTCTTTTCTGCTCCGAACTACGTGGACCAGTCCGGCAATAAAGGAGCATTCGTACGTGACCTTTTCAACCATCTAGCGTACATCTAGCGTACGTGACAGCAAGATGGGGTACTGATGACCTGGCTTCTATTCTATTCAGATCCGTATTGATGCTACTGGCAAACGAGTATACACTCAATTCGAGGCTTCACCACATCCTCCTATGAAGCCAATGGCGTACGTCCAGGGGGGACTAGGGAGCTTGATGATGGCATAGATTTATCGGATCTGTGGGCAATTTGTGGACTCTGAATGACTCGAGGGCAGCCGATCAAAGTGTCTGCTTGTGCTATTGGTCTGTCTCAACTTGCTGTAGTACTTGTGCATCTAGGTAGCCTTGCATTCATTTTCAACTCTAACGCAAGAGCGTTCATGAGAAAAATAGGCTTATACTTAATTCCCTAACTGAAGAATAAAATGGCGCCTGAGGAGGTTATGTTTAAATTTCTGCACAGCCATTATTTTATACTCCGCCGTGCTGATTGGCCGGCCTGCTGCTAAGCTTGGGCTATACGTTAGCACTGACGAAGCTGTTCCTCCGCCACTTACCCCTCTTACCTCTCCATTATTGACGCGGACAGCTCTGAAGAGCCTCTTATCTATTCTATTGCATTCACCAAATACATTTTCTTGACACATCCGACTCCGAGGTGTCAAGCTTCAAAAGCCACCATCTTTAGCTGATTGCTTCTCGACAATCAGCTCGCAAGCACTTCCACAGTGCCTCCAGGATTCACGATGGACAAAACGAAGTCGAAATTGGCGGCATTCTTTGACAACGATGATGAAGAAACCTCGTTTCTAGTGCGACGGACAGAGTTATTTCCTCTCCGCTAGCCGTCACTTACCATTCTCACCCCACAACGCAGCAAAAACCTGTCGATGATGCGAAACTTTCGCAGTATACTTCAGGGAAAGTGCGAAAGTCCCGCAGAGAGAAGGAGCAAGAGGCCGCGGATGCGAAGAGGCGCGAAGAAGAGGCTGAGGCTGCCCAAGCATATGCGGATTTTTTAGACGCGTTTGAGGGAGAGGACGTCAGCAAGAGGAAGACTGGGTCAGGATTCGTGAGGGCAGACACAAAGATGTCCTATGCGCCGTCTATGCCAGCTGCAGACCGTCGTGCAGCACCGAGAGTGAGTAGTTGCGCCATTCTCTTTGAACCATGCTTCTAATACCAATTCGAAAGTCGCTGTCACCAGCTTCAACGTCAGCACCCAAACCAAAGGGGAAAAGAGCAATGGACTCATTCCTTGAGGAGATTAAAAGGCGTGTCCATTTCTTGAACCTATCTTACTCTGCTAATTTTCTGTAATTAGGGAGCAGGCTGAAAGAGAAGTGAAATATGCCCGACATGGGCATGGTCATGGACGGTCAGTCACGGCAATGGCGGCCTACGATGGCCAGAGTGGAAGCAAAGACCGCGGAGACCCACAAGTGAGCTACTCATCTTATGTCATTTGGGCCTCCGTCGCCAACTGTCGTGTTTTCCCAAAGACTACCAATCTCTTCGTCGCAAACCTGCCTCAACATGTAACTGAGCCCATCCTAGGCAAATTCTTCGCGAAGATAGGGCCTGTCGGTTCTGTGCGCTTTTCTTCGACTCGCAAAGGTAGACTATGCTTATAGTACATATAGGTCAAAATTATGTGGCCGAGATCTGACGCGACTGTTGGTCCTGGTGCCGATATGACCGCAAGTCGAAGGGCAAAGAATAGCGGGTTGAATGGTTTTGTATCATTTATGACGAGGCGAGATGCAGAGGACGCCTTGAGGGAGTACGATGGATATGATTGGGGTGGTTCCATCCTGCGCGTTGGTTGGAGCAAGGCTGTTCCGATTGCAGCGAAGGCGTTGTATGGTATGTTTTAATTCATCTTTGGTCATTAGTGATTGTTCTCAACTCGTATACAGTATCTACAACGACCAAAGCAGCCAAGAGTCATAGTCGAAGCAGGAGTCATTCTCGCGATCGTCATCGAGCACGTTCGCGTGAACGCCGCCACACTCGCTATTCGAGAAGTCCTTATGACAGAGACCGCTCACGTTCGCCCCGACGCCGGAGGTCATACAGCAGATCACGTCGCGGCTGCGGATCTTCAAGCCGGTCCCCTCGCCGACGCCACTCCCGTAGTCCTCGTCACGACGCCGATGAAGGAGACGATATAACTGATACTTTCATCCGCGCAGTGGCCGCTGAAGTGAAAGGGCACGACATGAAGTACGAGGAAACTTTGAAAGACCTGGAGAAGAACAACCCCAAATACAACTTCCTCCTTCGTCGAAATGTACGTCTCGCCTTTCGAATGCGAAATATTGTTTATGCTTAATCCTTCTTAGCATCGCCGCCACGCATATTATCGAGGTCTCGTCGAATCTGAGGAGCCCTTCAAACCTGCCTTTGATGATGAGGTTTGACAGATTTCTTGAGTAACATCTTCGACTCTGCTTTACTCACTCTTATCCAGGGATACAACTCAGTTTACTCCACTGAATCTGAAGAAGAATCCGAAAAAGAGCAAACACGCAAAACTGCTTTAGGCGTTCTTGCTCGACGGAGGTTCGAAGCGATGCTTCGTGCTCTAACGGGAAAGCGTGGTGAAATCGCGAGATGTATGACTTTCAGTCTCGAACATGCAGAAGCTGCTCATGAAGTATGTGAACATTGCCCCATTGTAATTATCCTTGCCTTCTCACCTCGGCGCAGGTTGCCGATATTATTGTCTCTTCTCTTCTTGTAGATGGCACCGCCGTTCCTCGAAAAGTGGCTCGATTGCATCTAATCTGTGACATCCTTAACAATTCTGCTGCTCCTGTACCCAGTGCTTGGAAATATCGTCAAGAGTTTCAGGCGCGATTGGGCATCGTCTTCGACCATCTTGCCAACATCTACCATTCTTTCCCTGGTCGGATCACTGCAGACGTGTTTAAGAAGCAGATCACGACGGTCGTTGATGTATGGGAGGACTGGATTGTTTTCCCTCCAGATTTTACCTCAGAGCTCCGAACAAGATTGGAAGGGGCACAAGTGCCATCTCAAGTAGAATCTCAGGCAGAAGTAGTTGCTGCTCCTGCCGCGACTAATACATTCGCTTCCAAATTCAAGACGAGCACTTTTCAACTTGCAAAGGATGCGACCGTGTCTCAATCAGTTGCCTCTACACCTGGTAATGCTAGCGATGGAGAACCTATGGAAGTCAGCAGCGACGAAGGTGAAGATGACAATGACAACGTTGATGGTGAACCCGTTGAGGATGTCCTTGATGGTGAGCCAATCGACGTGGACGGGGAACCTGTTGACGATTCAGCCGGGGCTGCAGTTGGTGACGACCTTGACGGAGAGCCAATTGTAGATGATGTCGACGGTATTCCCATGGACGATGATGTTGATGGAGAGCCAATTGACGTACCAACATAAATTAGCATGACTTTGTTCGCTGTCTTGCATGATCTCCATTATGGCTAGTGTTTGAGTTGTGTAGTATGATGTGCATTTTGATGTTCTATCCATAATTCCCCAAGGCAATCTGAAGACATGCAAGCGAGACCGATGACGATAGCAAACTAGATGTGTATGTAGCGTAAGTAATTAATCATGGCGTCGGCGACCGTTCGTCATGCGCAAGATTGCATCTTTCGCCGCCGAGACCTCATTTTCAGCACCTAAACATCAGGGAAATAAACCAGATGTCACATTTATTAAGATGCTGCTGTCGTGCTTACCGATAATGACAATGGTGTTGTTTTCACGACTGACAGTGATGTCGGCGCCGGTTTCGTTACGGAGACGAGCAACATTAGCACCCTTAGCACCAACAATTTTAGGGAACATCGAGCGGTCAGCCAACGTCAAGAAGCCAACGTGCGACATGCGGGCCGCATTGTTGATGGCATCCTTGAGGAGACCTTCCGCCTTGTCCAATCCAGCTTGATCGCGAGCCTTGAGAGTCCACTCCGAATCACCCTCCTCG